GCTAAAAGTTAGAAAACATTTTCTTGCACAATGACTACTAGCATTGGGTGACTAGCCAATAGAAAAAAATGTTGAAATGACCACAAAAACAGAAAACTACCAAGAAATGCATCCCCAGCCCAGAGAAGAAAGCTCCTGATAAACCGGCTTGCTTCCAGATCACTTATAAAAAAGATGCACACAGTGTTTTTTTGTTCATTTTTGTTTTTTTTATTACTTTGACATTACTGTACGGTCACAACATTACATGGAAGCATGGTGAATCATACAATATACAATATGTCTCTGAAATGTTCCCATTTGCTAATCATTCAGTAGAATGTGAATGCAAGTGTTCTTTTGTTATAAACTGATAGATGAACCCTAATCTGCTAATGCTAGCCTGAAGAACAATATGTACAGAAAGCATTTACAAAGCTTCAGCACAGCATTCCACAAGCTTTGAGCAACTTTGTTGAAGTCACATGATCTCTACACCTAGATGTACCCAGCATTTTTCTCTGCTCCCAGTAGTAAATGGAGCCAAAGAAAAATATGTGCCAAAAATGTTAAAATGAGCCTTTTGTCTTACTTTACGGGCAAAGCACAGGTTCACTTCAAAACTGCTTTCTTGCTTCTTGGAGGTGTCAAAATTTGCATACGGCTAGGAATACTCAATACCCAACATTTGTTGGGTCTGGTGATTGGTCCTTTAGGTACTGAACAGTGTTTTTTTTTCTAGGTCTGTAAATAAAAAAAGCCAACCTTTACTGAAACATGTGCAGACAAGAAAGAAAGTAAACTGGGGGAGTGTGTGGGTTTGCCCCCAAGTTTTTTTTTTGCGCTGGGGCTCCTAGGGACTACTGGGACATAATGATGCACTGCAAAGTTAAGAGAGGCGATATTATAAAAGGTTACAATTGTTACTTGAATTTGTTTGAACTGCTAACAGGCTTTTGTTTTTTAAAAGGGCCCCGTAGACCCAAGCACGGCAGTAAAACATGCATTTTACTTCAAAAGCAAACTGTGTGTGAAGCAATTAATTTAGAATGGCCCCCAATATACAAGTATACTAGGTGCTAATGGACCCGCACTGCAGCACACAACACGCGCTATAAAATGCGGTGCGCTGCATAAAAAGAAAACAAAAAAAAAACCCCACACAACAGGTCCAGTTTGCGGCCATTGTTGCAGTGCGCCGCTCAACCCAATGCACAAAATCTTGCATAGTAATACCAAAAAAGCTCTGCAAGGGCCAAAAGAAATAAAGTAAATGGAAATACTTTGTACAGTAAATGCTTGTCGAATGCCTTCTGTATACATTTGTATTCAGACTAGCATTTAAAAGCCATTGTCATTGAAAATTGTCATCAAGAAATACTTTAAAGACCTCAGTTGAGTAACAGTGTCCAAATTACATGACAAAATTATATATGCGGCTTTACAGTGTTTTGGGTGATTTTACTTCATTATAACAGCCCTTAAAAACGGCTCATCTAGAGTAGACTTGTATTCACAGACCCATACAGTAATTATATATTTCTATAGCACTTAAAAAAAAATCCACAGCAGAACGTTGTGTGCTGACATAATATAGGCTGCAGACACGTTAATGTTAATACTATAATCTCTTAATAAATATAGGCTAAGCCTGTAAGTCATGCTGTAGGTGCGGTGACAGTGTAAACATAATATGGCATTGTGTGGACAGGCGATCATTACCTACAAGCTACCCCTTCTCCTTAACACCATGGATAATAAACTACAAATAAAGGGTAACCTATCATCAGGAAAAGAGCTCATGGACATGCAGCAGTTCACTGTTCAGGTACGGTAATATTTGGCAGTCAGTTCAGGGCTAGATTACCATTACAGTGTAATACTAAACGTTCTCAACACGGATGCTGCCATCCTGAAAAACCAGCAGTGCCAAAAACTCACAGCTCCATGGAGGTCTGTTTTCTAGAGCTGGGGGTCCAATTAGAAGGTACCAAAAGCGGCTGATGTTCTATCAATGTTTATTCAGCAACGGCAACGTTGTTTCAGTTGGCTCTACCATACTATGAGCTTGTGTATAATACGAGTTTGCTTTAAATTTCCCCATGTACAGAACAGGGGCAGACTGACCATTAGAGCACTTGGGCAGTGCCCAAGGGCCCAGGGACAGTAGGGGGCCCCATGAAATGCCCCTGGTACCTTTTATAGGCTTTTTTGGGTATGCTTTGAGTGTGGGCAAGGACACAGGGGCCCCATGATCCCCTATTGCCCGGGGGCCCCATGAGTTGTCAGTCTGCACCTGGTACAGAATGTATTCTTCAGAAAATCCCAGCGTCTTCCAGATTTATCACAAACCCAGCAGACATCAACTCTAATAATGTGTATTGTACAAGAATAAGGCGCACACACCATTGTGTCTCCAGTAACCTTCTCTTTAGAACCTCTAAGGGCTTATTCACATCAGGTGCCTAATAGAACCTTAACGCAAGGACAACTGTTCTCTATGTGCCCTGTACACACCATACAAGTGCCTTTCAAAGCACTATTGTGCATAGATGGTTGAATGATGGTTTGTTTTAAAACACAAGGCATTGCAGTGCATGTTATACACGCCCTTTGAAGTGAACAGACCCCCATACTGAAAATAACCTTTCCTACAGTATAGAGGAGGGTTTTTTTTTTTTATATCTGCAGACAGGAGCAGATAGGAATTTGTCGTGTAATGTTTTTTTTAATGATTTTTTAGCAAGCCTAATTTTAGACATCAGAGGAACTGAGGTTTGTAAAAAGCTGGAGTTTAACATTAAATTGGACCAATACTCCCAAGTTTTACAAAAACTCTGTTCAGTCTTGCTGGAACAGATTAATATGGAGCACAATGGGGTAAACTGCTTACCTTTCCAAAAGGAAATTCTGCAATGCAAAGGGGCCACACAAGCTCAGGCACCTAATGGTAAACTGTTAGAGAATAAGTGATCTACACGCAGATTAGCCAGAAGGGGACAGTAGCAAAGAGCAGCTGAAGTGACAGATAAAGTAGGCCTTAACACCTTTTAGAGCACAAGTCAAACTACAGATCTATTGTCATTTTTTTTATAGCAAGCAGAGTGGCCTTAAGATAACATTTGAGGATTGGTCCACAAAGTTTAAGGGTACAAGCTGCATAACCTCTATTATGTGATCCATCATAAAGCATAAAGGAAGGGTATATTACAAAAAAAGAAAAAAAAAAATTTTGGAAATATCCTCTAAGCACAATGGCATCATCAGGGCAGACACTGCCAGTATTGTGTATCAGTTGTAATTTCTTTTTTGGTCCCAAGTAAACCAAACCCAAATATAAAAAAGTCAAATGCAGCCCAACATGAAACAGAAGAGAAGACTGGGATCTGACGTGACCTGCAAACCTCAGGCCACAACCTTCAAAGCCATGACGTGCACACACAGCCGTTCTGCTACTGAAACAACTGACATGAGAACACCTTTTATTTACTGGAATAGTAATTACATGGTTTTAGTATGCAGCAAATAAAAAAGGTGGCAATGAATGGTCATAATCCTGTCTCAGTACTACCTTTTCCAAGCGTACATCAAGGCACACAAAAAAAATGGCTGCTGCAATGGAAAGATGTGGAAAAGATCCTACAGAAGGTGAGATTAAGAACATCTCCAGTCCAAGACTATGGAAATTATTTAGAGGACAATTGTTATATTTAGTGTAATCCAAGAATAAAGCAAACCCAAGAAGGCTGCCTTCTTGTACGCACTGCACATAAGTAAACAGTTTGTATCCTTTGTATGATGGAGAACCATCAAGGTGATCATGTGTAATCACATAACCTTAATACAATGGAGAAATGAGCTGTTGCTTGACCACAGCATGAACAGGTAAAAATGACTAGCTCTCAATCACTACTACAGTTGCCATTTGTGAAATTTAATAGCTCAGACATAACTTACTAAATTGCACAATGGGCCTTATTTATCCCTATGTCTGAAGAATGAACCACACATAGTTGCTAGAAGTTACCTTTCATTCTCCCATACTGCTAGAAAAGAAAGGGGAGAGCGGATTGTCTGCTATAGCCAACAACTGTCTTTCCTTCAGAGCCCCCAATACACAAGGACCAACAACATCTTCCAGATCTGGTCCACTCTTCATATATCAAAAAAAAAACAAAAAAAAAAAAACCCACAACACCCTCCAAACCATTTAGTGGCGAATAGAACACTAAATAATTGTAATGTAACATATGGTTTAAAATATTTTAGGGGCATTTAAATAAAATGGGTATGATGGATGACAACAAATGTGGTACCCATGATAAAACAGCTTTTCATTTTTTTTTAGGCTGCCTTACAAATACGGCATACAGAAACCAATTGTGAAGCTCTCAAGACTCTGTTCCCTTCACAATTATCTGTAAAAGTTTTTACAGAAGTGTAAACTGTTGTACAACAGTAAATAAAATATTAATTTGTAAAGAATGGGGCATAACACAAGCAGCAATAACAGTGTACTCCACAGCAGCCAAATCAGAAAATGGTTCCTCTGCATTAGTCAATCTGAGGGAAGTCGACTTCTGATTGGCTGTCATGAGCTACAGTCCAATACCGCTTTTTGAACTATGCACAGAATTTTTAAACACCAAAATACAAATTCATGAAAGGACTTGAGTTATTAAAGAAGACAAGTCAGTCCAAAACTTGCATTTTGGCTCTAGTTAGAAGTAGTGGGTTGAGTCACGCCGCGATTCTTAACTACCCAGCGGTGTCAGTTGTCTAGTACTTTATACAGTTTATACATGTTGTGTTTCACAGCTACTTTATCTATTGTTTCAGTGTTAAAGAGATCAGGGGTGACCTAGTAGTGAATTCCCACAATAACTGCTTACAGACAGGGCTAGCCAGCAACCTCCAAGCACAAGTGCACTATTCAGCTCTTTCTCCACAAGTGGTCTCCAGGTGGAGATGAACATATACCCCAGCAACATGTTCCTGTACTATACAAAACACTGCCACTTCTAGGGGGCCGTCTGTACCACAGGGCCCAAGTCAAGCTCTACATGGTGCGTCAGCCACACAGCCTCGGAGACGGTCTCATTGTCTTCTACAGGTCGGATTGGAGCAGCCAGGTTTCTGAAGTCATGCTTAAGCTTGAAGCTTACTATCACCTTTCCTTTTTCTTGCAGTGGGGTAACCTTTATAAACACCCCCACTTTATTGGCTTTCCTGAAGGCGACAACACTGCAGAAGATAGACCACTGTTAGTCATGCAACAATACAGAATACATATTCAAGAATGAATGTAAAGCATAACTGTTAAGAGAAGCTGAACAACATGTGACCAGTAGGCCACCACATTAGACAGTCAAGGGAAGGCTAGCACAGGCCACTTACTCTGGGTCATCTTGGAACTCCTGCGGCTCTGCCAATTCATCATACTCTGCAGCAGCATCTTTGCCAGCCAGGACCAGCTCCTTTGTAGGCACAACCACCTGCAAATGACAAAAAAAAGCTGTATTATGCATATCTGTATACTGAGAGAATCTACCAAAAGCTCCTCAATTGTCATGTTCAAAGTTGAAATGCAGTCCTCCCTGTGGCTAGGTTCACAACAACTGAGCTTCTTGACCATTTTTTTTACCGCATGTTTGTATCCGTGTTTTTCAGACCATTTTTGTTTTACCTAAATGAAAAGCTAGTCACTATGGGAAGAAGAGACAAGAAATTGCGTGAAATACTCACACTACGTGAATTTTTTGCTGCACTCCCATTGAAGGACCAAAAAACACGATTGCCTTAAAAAAGAAGCTCAAATACTCTTTTGAGCTTCAAGTGACACAGCCCTCAGGTGTAAATGGGCACCAAAGGATCAAGTAGGAATACTATGTAGATCGTTGAAACACTTCCAGAAAAGTGCTTCAAATCACTTACAGTAGGTGTGCACTGAACCTAAAAAGAAAAGACATTAAAAGCAACACACACATGCCTCTGTCTGCATTACCAACTCTTCTGGGTTGAATAAAACAACCTCAAAAGATCTTTTGCTTTCAGCAAACTTTGTTTTAGTGCTGTGCACTGTGGATCCTCCAGTCGGCAGCTACGTTTTGTGGTGATGTAGGGGTGGTCAGTGGAGAAAACCACAAAGAGTAGAAAGGGTGAGGAGGGATGACAACATGACACTCCTGGAACCAATGAACACAGAAGATGAAGCTTTGCCATTCAATGCAGAAGCGTTCAGAGATGTGGGCAGCTTGAAAGGCAAGTATTTAGTGCTCTGTTGAGGAAAGACTGCATTTCAACTAATACAAATAGCGGGTGCAGGTTTAAAGCTGAACTCCAGCCACAAGGAAGGGTTAGAACCTCAATCTCAATTTATACTCCCAACACAAAATAAAAAAAAAAAAACAAAACCACTGGATTTTTTAAAATAAAACAGCTAAGCCTAATTAAAATTTTATAAATACATCTAAAAAACAAACAAAAATACACACACAAAAAACCTCCCAACTGCTATCAGAAAAGGTGTACCCTTATAAAACACGCCAAGATCAGATTAAAAGTGTTAAGTGCTGCCAATTTACACTTTTAATATTAATATGGGATTTATCCTGTACTCACCCTAAGGCCCCTTTCACATGGCTAGAATCCAGTTTGCTCGACATAAGAAGATCTATCCACTGATCCCATTGATCATAACAGAGTAGGCAGATGACAGGTCTGTGTTGGTTCAGTTCATGCAGAGCAGACATAGACAGAGCCTGTTCTGCTCAAATGGGTGGCCGGGTGTCCAGTTACATCCAACTCCACTCCCCTATCCCAGTGGTCGGCAAGCCGCGGCTCGCGAGCCACATGCGGCTCTTTACAAACTTAAATGCGGCTCTTCTGTGTGCCGGGCGCCCGCTCCCCTCCCTCCTCTCAGGCGGCCGCCTGCGCCCCTCCCCTCCCTCCTCTCGGGCGGCCGCCCGTGCCCCTTCCCTCCCTCCTCTCGGGCGGCCGCCCCCCTCCCTCCTCTCGGGCGGCTGCCCCAAAAGTCAGGACTCTGCAGCTGTCAGGATGTAGGCGGGGCAGCCAGAATGTAGGCAGGGCAGCGTGACGAACTCCTCTCCTCTCACAGTCCGCCCTGAAGACCAGAACAGCGCAGGAACACGGCGAGAGGAACGCGCGGAGCAAAGGTAAGTGAATTGACACAGGGGGGACTTACTATAGGGGGGATGAATTACTATAGGGGGGGTGAATTACTATAGGGGGGGGTGAATTACTATATGGGGGGTGAATTACTATATGGGGGGTGAATTACTATAAGGGGGATGAATTACTATATGGGAGATGTATTTTCAGTTTTAAAAATGTGGCTCTCAAAATAAAATTTCAATCGTGGTTTTGGCGGGATTTGGCTAAGTTGAAAAAAAAAGGTTGCCCACCACTGCCCTATCCAATCTGCCTAGATGGAGGGGGGGGGGGGGGGCGGATCCCCTTCCATTTTTTTTTTTTTTAAGCAGACCAAGTTGGATTGGAGGTAGTAAAAACTGACACAAGTCTGGTTACACCCACTGGATATATATACCATCCGATCAGATATGCCTGAAAAACTGACAGGTAAATCTGATCAAATCACCCATGTGAAAGGGACCTTACACGTTTCACTGCAGGTTCTTGCAACAGCAGCTCAACAATAAGGGACGAAAAATCTCCCCAGTAAAAGACTAATTCTACGCAAAAAAAAAAAAAAAAAACATTTAAATAAAAAGGTATCCATTTTGATTGCAGTGGCCACACATTATCTTTAAGTACAAGCTACAGTATTAAAAAGAAATAAAAGTCATTAGGTAAAAGAATATACCTTAGCGGTACTGTTGATGTCATAGGGATCCCCCTCTTCACATGGCATTAGCGTCACATGAGTGAGGTTCTCCACAGGGTTAGTCAGAGTCAGCAGAACCTGGCTCTCCTGCAACACAAAATCTAGTCATCACCAGAACAAAATAAAGCTTTACTTACAGGAGGGGTTTATGCAGACACAAATTTTCCTTAAAGCTGAACTCGGAACTAAAAGACAAATGAATGCAGTTCTGTATTATTACACAGGCTCCTGTATTACAGTCATAAAATGTGCAAACTGAGGAGGTGCTCAGGGGGGCATGTCCTTGAACGCTTTGCAAGTATCAAATCACCTGAAGGTAAGAGCTTATAATCCAGGGTCTTTGAATACTTTGCCTGTGTCCTGTATTGTTAATTTTGACATTAAATTTAGATTTAGTCATAGTCTTGACTAAAATGCCATTTTAGTTTTAGACGTATTTTAGTCATCTGAGTTGTTTTAGTCAAATCTTAGTCGACTAAAATAGTTTTAATTTAGTTGACAAAAATATTTTCATTGACGAAATTAACACTGATTGTACGATTAAGATACTTCCTTTACCTCCCCTGACTGAGCCAATTCTTCCTACATTTGATTCTCACATGCCTCCCCCGACACTGTTACCAAGATCATACCACTGTGATCTTCAGAGACAGTGCTTGCAATCCAGGAGTCTGTGAGCAGGACTAGGTGTGGCCAGCTGCTGACCGACAAGCTACAGGTTTATGAATCAGCAGGGACAATGTTTATAGCCATTGCCCCCCCCTGCAGCATTTCTTTCATCCCAGTGTAGTGTAAGCAGGCACAGACTACATGCGAGTGGCAACTCTGTTCTGAGTTCACAAAGCAGTGCAGCATCACTGCCATACCATCATAGGAGGTTGCATTAGGTGGACGTCAGTAGCACACTCAACAGATAGTTGTGCGACTTTGCAGGGGACAATGTGAAAATGCTGCAGCATAGGCTAGATTGTAGAGTGGAACCAGAAGTCGCGACGTCACCACGTTTTTGTGCATTCCCGCATTACACTGTGGGATTTGCAGTCACAGTTGATGCAGATCGTCATGAGATTTTTTTTTTTTCTTTTTTGTACTTTTAACCACAATAAAGCATCCTAAAAAAGGATTTTACACTATGCGAGTCTGGATCACTCAGTTTACTCATACAAGTGTTCTTTGACTTGTCTAGGAGAGACATATTCTGGTAAACGGACATCCTCACCAGATGCAAGGACACATGGTGTGTTTCTCCAACAAGTGGAACTGGGGCACACAGATTTCAAATGATGATACAGTTTGGACTCATCATATGGGTGTTGGACTTTTACACTATTTGCACAAACTTTTCTTTATTCATCATCACATTTTTATTTATTTGCATTTATTAATGAGTGATAACACGGCATGCTGTGGATTGGATTATAGGTTTATATTAAAATGCAAGCAGTCTAAGCCCCTACATTTGAGTTGGTGTCAGCCTCTTGCACTCCCTGAACAGCACAGCTCAGACTGGGGGAGAGATAGGTCGCACAAAGACAAAACAGTGCTCAACAAGGAGCAGGTTGATAGAAAAAAAAAAAAAAAGGAGATAAAGTGAAAGCAAGAGAAGCTCAGAAGTTTAGTTTTATGAAATCACAGCAATGACTGCTGTAGAAATCTCAGAACTGGATGGACATAAATGCAAGTCCTTTGCCATTGTACAGAGCTAGTTCTCCAATAAAAGACAACTTCAAAATTCATAGCAAGCCTTCCCTTATGGCAAAGTGTGATTTTTTTTTTTATAAACAACATGGCAGTAGAACTACAATCGCTCTGATACAGCCAAGCAATTCTAGTCTAGTAACAGTTGGAATCAAAGCTGAAATATTTGGAAGCAAAAGACAGTTCAGTCAAGAACTTGGATTTGTGGGGAGGGTACACTCCCATAGCTCTTTTAAATATGTAAATTTGGCCCCTGAAATCTATGGCAGCCAGTTCCTCCAATACAGGAGTTGTGAATGGCAAGCCAGAAAATGTCTACATTCTTGTCAAAATTTGCATTTAGTTTTGAGGTTGCTTGCTTAGGAATTAAACTGTATGTAAACTGCACTGTGGACAGAGGCTGCTGCAGGTGTCTGCTTCACATCAGTTAGGTCCATATATATTTGGACACAGGCACAATTTTAGCTTTTTTCAGGAAATTACCAAAACATATTCAAGCTATAGTTATATAGTGAATATGGGCTGAAAGTGCGCACTCTCAGATTCAATTTGAGGGTATGTACATCCAAATTGGAGGAAGGGTTTAGGAATTACAGCTCTTAAGAGTAGCCATCCCCCCTTTTTCAAGGAACCAAAAGAAATTGGACAAATTAATATAATCATAAAAAAAAATGTTCATCTTTAATATTTTGTTGAGAATCCTTTACTGGCAATGACTGCCTGAAGTCTGGAACCCATGGACATTACCAAAGACTGGGTTTCCTCCTTTCTGATTCTTTGCCAGGCTCTAACTGCAGCTGTCTTCAGTTATTCTTTGTGGGTCTTTCTGCCTTTAGTTTTGCCTTCAGCAAGTGCAATGCACTTCAAAAGCTTCAAAAGCTCCTGGGTTGCCTTTGCAGTGTTTTGGATCATTGTCCATCTGTACTGTGAAGTACCATCCAATCAGCTTTGCTGCATTTAGTGGAATCTGGGCTGACGGTATATCTCTAAACACTGCAGAATGCATGTTGCGGAGCTCGCCAATGCGTTCTTCTTTCCTCAGAATGTACAAAACTATTGATTTGGCCATTGCTAATGTTGCTGCTATCTCTCTGATGGATTTGATTTGTTTTTGAAGCCTTACAATGGCCTCTTTCACTTGCATGGACAGCTCCTTTGAACGCATGATGTAGGTTCACAGCATAAGATTCCAAATGCAAATACCGCACTTAGAATCAACTACAGACCTTTTACCTGCTTAACTGATGAAGAAAATAACAGAGTAACCCACACCGGCTATGAAACCGCTTTTGATTCAATTGTGCAATTACTTTTGGACCACTGAAAAAGGGGGGGGATGGCTACTAATTCCTAAACCCTTCCTCCAATTTGGAAGTACATACCCTCAAATTAAACCTGAGAGTGCGCACTTTCAGCCCATATCCATTATAGAACTATAGCTTGAATATGCTTTGGTAAATACTTTAAAAAATCTAAAATTGTGCCAGTGTTCAAATATATTATGGACTTAACTGTATATTTTAAAAAGATGAAAGTTTAACTTTAATAGAGGAAAAATATTTTTTAGGCACATTGGCTACATGGTTACTGGTGTTTGGTAATGTATGCCTTTTTCGTGCTCACTTAAGCCAGCAACATCAAAAATTCCAGGCCAAACTACATTTTAAAGAGGAACTTTGCCTGGCTTTTGGGGAAAATAAAGGTCAGCAGGTACAAGCACTGTAATTGCTGACTTTCAAGAAACACATGCTTCCAGTCCTTAAAGTCCAGCACTGTCTTCCAAGCACCAGATTTTTGGCAAGGCTTCAGATCATTGCACCGCCATCTTGCATTTGGAAGCTGGCTGGCATTTCAAGATCACTCACAGCTTTCCCCTCCTGCACATTTAAGATCATTGACTGCAGGGAGACCAATAGCCTATGTGACCTGTATCCCAGGAGGCTGAAGGTGGAGTGATTGAGACAAGGGTACATCATCGTTGTCTAGGCAAGGCAAGAAGTGGGAGCACTAAAATTAAGTACTCACCACCCCCCCCCCCCCCCCCGGAGAAAAAAAAAAACAAAAAAAAAAAAAACACCCACACACCCCACCTAAATTCTAAACTTTGTAACAGTTTGGAGAAGAGAATGATGAAGAGTTTTGTGGGTGAAGGCCTGCTTTAAGGGCCAGCGAACACCACAGAAATGCAGTCTGGATGCCTTCCAGATGTATTTCTGCATGCACATATTTTGATGCCTTCCAAATGCATTTTTTTCCTTCAGTTTTGTTTTCTATATATTTCTTAAACTTTCCTTACTTGTTTTGTTGTAATGTGTCTTGGTGCATTTTGCCGCATTCCAGTACAGTGCAGCATGTTCTACTTTTGTTGGCTGTACTGAAACGCACTGAAATGGTGTGATCTTTGCCATTGGAATCGATGTAATCTACTGTCCATGTGTTTCAGGAAAAAAAAAAAAAAACCCCGCACTGGACTGCATGTGATGTACACTGTCCCTAAAGCATGAGGAACAACAAGTATTGACCGGAATTTACAGGATGTTTTTTTTCACAAGCAGTGATCAGCTGGCTTTCAGAAGAATTACAAGCAGTGTCTCTGCACATATTTTTCCCACTATGTGCGATTGTGATTTTGTGGTTGGATTAAGTGGTGATCACTTCCTCGTTTCCAATTTGGAAAATACTATAGTACATTAAAAAGTCAAAGCAATACTGACCTTCATGTTGCGCAAGTTTGGAATTGACATAATCCTCACTTCTGGCACATAGCTCCTGCATAAAATCAATGATAGTCAACAAATTAGAATGATACATTTTACCACTTCCAGCCTGCAATGGATCACCCACTAAATAAAGAAATCTGGAAAGCTTTTTATCCCCATGAGATCAGGCATTTCTCTGGTACCATTCATTGATACAAAAGCTTCTCGTTTTTAGGTATATGAGAAATTACTAAAATGTAATTGGTCCCACAATATAAATACACTCAATGGCCACTTTATTAGGTACACCTGTTTAATTGCGTGGTAACACAAATTGCTAATCAGCCAATCACATGGCAGCAACTCAATGCATTTAGGCATCTAGATGTGGTAAAGACTACTTGCTGAAGTTAAAACTGAGCATCAGAATGGGGAAGAAAGGGGATTTAAGTGACTTTGAACGTGTCATGGTTGTTGGTGCCAGATGGGCTGGTCTGAGCAAGGGCGGACTGACCATTTGGAAACTTGGGCACTGCCTGAGGGCCCGGGGTCAGTAGGGGGCCCCATGAGATGCCCCTGGTACCTTTTTCATAGGCTTTTTTAAATTTGGGCAAGGACACAGGGGTACCATAATCCCCTATTGCCCGGGGGCCCCATGAGTTGTCAGTCCGCCCCTGGGGATTTTCACGCACAATCATCTCTAGGGTTTACAGAGAATGGTCTGAAAAAGAAAAATATCCAGTCACAGGCAGTTTTGTGGACAAAAATACCTTGTCAATGTCAAAAGGTCAGAGGAGAATGGGCAGACTGGTTGCTGCAACATTCAGATGGTAGGATCAAAATTTGGCGTAAACATGAAAGCATGAATCCATCCTGCCTTGTATCAATGGTTCAGGTTGGTGGTAGTGGTATAATGGTGTGCCGGATATTTTCTTGGCACTACCAAGGTGTACCTAATAAAGTGGCTGTGAGTGTATTTTCCAAAAACAATGTTGGGGCGTCTTTGCATGTATTAACAACAACACTACAAAAAAAACACATTTCTTTATAGCCAATAATGACCAACAGAGCAGGGCCAAATACATAGACGAGTTTCATTTAAAGAGAACTTTTTCACTGCAGCCAGTCTAAAAGATTTCAAACTGATATCATACAATCACTTTCTATTCATCTAGGTTTTTCAGTACTCACACTGCAACCAGCTGAATCTTAAATTTAATAGATGTGGGGTTAAATTCTGGTTTGCTCAGATTATGCTCACATTTCTGGAAAACACAAGAATGACAAAACACATTTAAATCACACTACATTCTTCTAGTCACTCTCCTTCTTCCCATGTTGGGATTAAACTACTAGGGCTGGCATACCCGGCATCGAAGAGATCGCTTGATGAGGAGATGTTTGTGGCGAGGGTGAAGCTGAGAGGCACAGATGGGCTGGAAGTCAGGCTGTAGCAGGCGCTGGTCCAGGGTAGTAACTACCACAAGAAGAAGAGAAGAATATGAGAATCTTTGTGAAGTACTAAAGACAGTGAGCTGTGGACAGGATGAGGGAGGAACCACCACTATAGTGTCACCAGTTACACAAACAAGGGGAAAAGTAAGAGTATGACAGATGCTGTCACTTTACCCATTCAGGCTAGTGTAAGAGTGTCTGCTGACAGCCCCTTCCCCAGCATGTTAAAGTCACCAATCCATGCTCCCTACCCTAGGTGGTGTTGCAGCTTACCCAAGAAGATTACCACTTCACCTCTCACACCCGTACACCCCTATTGGACCAGAGCAATTTTTTACATTTCTGATATTGACCTGTTTATTCAGCGATAATATTGTCATTGCTTACGATAACATATATTGCTTTTATAAGTACAAACAAGGCTTTGACCTGCAACATTTTAGACAATCATTAAATTAAAAATAACGAAACTCGCTGGGGTGGATTTACTAAAACGGATGTGCTCAGAATCTGGTGCAGCTTTGCACGGTAGCCAAACAGCTTCCAACTTCAGCTTGTTCAATTAAACTTTGGTAATAAAACCTGAATGCTGATTGGTTTCTTTGCAGAGCTGCACCAGATTTTGCACTCCAGTTTTAGTAAATAAACGGCACTTTTTTTTTTTTTTTTTTTTTAAGCAGTGTTAGTTTAAAAATAAATAGTGATACTGCACATTAAATGTGTGCGTTTTATTCTGATTTTCATCTTGTTTAAAATGACACTAAAATTATGATTTTGATACAAAGTTATTTACAAATTAAAGTGTTTTTTTTTTTTCTCTCTCCAGCGTGTGGTGTGTAAATAGATATAAAAAGGTGTAAAAATATAAAGCAAACAAAAAAAAAAGTTAATAAACTAGAGAAAAAAAAAAAAAAAAAAAATCAGAAATTAGAATTGAATGGAGAAGGAGAATGAATTATTTAGGGCTAATTAGAGTAAACGAAGGGTTAATCAGGAATATTTCATTCAATTTTTTTTTTTTTTTTTTAAATACTTGTTGGGTTGCTTTAACTGGCTTAATCCACGGATCAAAAATTGATCTGAAGATGAATAAACAGAAAGATACAAAAAAAGGAGACACTGCTTCTTTGCATCTTTCTATATTAGGCTGAGCAAGGTTGTTGATAAACATTGTCAGGCTTTTTTTTTTTTTTTCTTTGACAGATACAGTTGCCAGATCTGCTCTATGTACTTGGTAATGCAGCCTGGGGGAAGGGGGGGCGGAAAACAAACAGGGCAGAAGGACTGGACGTTCTACACACATCCTATATACGATGACACCACCTCTGCAGAATTATACTCAGTGATGTGTCTCCCCCAAAGTTAGCACAGTTTGAGCCAAAGACAATATCTAATGCTCAAGGTAGATCTCAAACAAGTACGACTAACCGATTCATCCATGCCTCTGCTGAACACCTAAACCAATGGAAAATCGTGAACGGTTACCTTCCAAACACAAATTGCAAAAAACAGCTCATTCAAAGCAAGACATGATCCCTTTTGATTATTGAGCCCTATATTCTCTGAAACATGCCATCATCTAGAACAAAACCGGTTACCTTCAGTTAGATTGATAGGTCTGGTGTAATAGTCTTCAGGGAGAGGCTCCACTTCATCCACTGCCTGTGCTGGCTCAATTTTTATCTCCTTTTGATCTTCCCCTTCTTTCAGACTGGAAAGAGAATAAATGTACATCAACCATTACCTTGTCATGCAACTCCTAAATGACAACAGAAGCTGCAACTGTTCCTTTTACTGAAAAGATTTGAGGATCACGTACTGGACTTATAAACTGAGCGGCGGCCATCTTTAATACCTCTCCTCAAGCTCCTCCTGCAGCTGCTGGCTGGCACAGCGGCTCCATCGCTTAGAGGACAGAGCCCTGCTACGGACGGACCACATTAGAGCCTGATTTACTACCACATTGAAAGTGTTTTTAACCTCTTTTTATTAAAGTTGACCTGGAATACTGCACTTAGAAGTGCCTTCCTGTTTCACCTTCTTCTGCACAGAGCTTGTCTCCACTTTTTAGAAGTGCTGCTCAGTACCGGTTTCCCTACACACCATCCATTATCAGCTGCCATAGTTCCACAGCTACCCACCTTACTCTTTTTCCCCTACTTTACTAGAGAATGTACTTTTTTGGGGGGTCCCCTTCGCCCTACTCGGAGACCCAACAAACAGGCAAGAAGAAGTGAAACCCCCTGCTAAATAATGAGGACACGGCTATAAAACAAACAAAACACACACACACACACACACACACACACACACACACACACACACACACACACACACACGTTCTGATCTTTACTCTCTATATACAAAACTAAAAATTTAAAAAAAAAAAAAAAAAAAAAAAGGAAGAAGGGGCAAAGCTAGCTTTCCTTGGCTTCTCTAAGAAGGATATGTTTTCCCCTCTTTTCTCAGAGAACACACCATGGATTGCGGGATACATAAGCTGTGTCTGCAATAGGTCAGTCACCAAGCTTCTATGGTCTGTATCCCTGCACTAGGCACTGGTGTTTTTCAGTATCTGAAGGAGGTGAATGCCAGGTACCAGCCAGATTCAATTTTTGTTTTTAGGCTTTGATATAGCATGCACAACTTTTCATTATTCCTTCATTTTTAACCAGCCTTGTAAATAGGTTTTTATACAGGGCTTTCATTGGAAACTTCCAATCACCCTGTAAGATAAAGCCTTCGCTACAGCCAAGCCTTAGATTTCCTATTCTCTTGCAGAAATACAATTTATTTTCATGGAAAACTCTTCAATTTTAGATTTTCTATATATCAGCTTTTACATTTGGAGATGCAAATCCCCCGTGAGCATACATACACTTTACCTGTGCACCAATTTCTGTTTAACACCTTATATTACCTTGAAAAACTGTGCACAGTATACTTGGAACAATAGTTCTGTACTTACGTCAGTCCAGATAGGGGTGTGATGGGAACGCCTGGTCTTTGACGCTGGAGCCTCGTACCACGGCCATACTTGTCCTGTAAGTGGCAGATACTTTTAGTGGCACAGCATCTGAACAAGTGTCAATAACATATGCGATCCATGCAAGACAAGGCATGACCAGATTAAAAGCGCATTCTCTGAGGAAGCAGAGAAGCAGATATGGTTACTGTTAGAATAAAGCTGTATGTTGGTCATTGCTTTGGTGTGGATAGTGAGCTCTGGAGACATGAGAAGGCCTGGAACTTACCGCTACATGAATAGTGTGTTGCTGTATAGTAGTTCCAACATTAACCAGAATGCAATTAAAAGGCAAAAAACAAAAAGTGACAGTCAGACAGAAGAAATATAAACACATTGCTGAAGACATATGGGTTCATCAAGCTAATAAGCACTTTAAAAGGAAGAACTACCACCTATGTTGATGAAATTTATGGCTCATTACTTATTATCTAGCCCTTACTCAGAGTAATTTTAGGATTGAGTGCCTGAAATAGAACACAAAATATGACAACAATCTTGTGAACCTATAAAATGTTTTACATTGTTTAACCACAGGAGTTCCTATACGCCCCCATATACCCCCTCCCCATTGCCAGACTGCCTAAATCCTAATCATCGGTCTTATTTAGGTACCAAATCCTCTCTCCTCTGATCAACTGAAAATTTTCCAATCTGCACTTTCCATAGAAGTGGATTAAGCTGAGATAACAGACATCTCTCAAGCAGGGAAGTCTACACACTGATCAAAATTTGGCCAATCCCTGCTAAAATCTGGGAAAAGTTCAGTGTATGGTCAGCTCAACATCCACCAACCCACATATCAACTGGCAATACTGGGAAGTAGACATCTGGTTGAGTGATCCAAAAGCTGACCGGTTAGTGACCATGCTGGATCAATCCATAATGGTAAGCCACAATGCTGATAAAACAACTTCAAGGAATTCTGCTGTGAACTTCAATAGTTGTTCCACAATGTCTAGTTACACAGGTCAGTTTGAGCTTCTTTTAAATATAATAAAAGACTTGAATGGCCATTGCCTGGCTATAGCTTCACTTTAATTGCCCGGTCACACCAGTGATTTGTGATTTTCAATTCACACCTCAAATTGCATCTAATGAATGTCGGTGTCTTAACGTGCGCGTTTTGCTGCAGCGCAATTTCTAAAGTAGTTCTTGCATTACTTTTTCTGCAGTTGTGTCGCGATTTCACATACATAGAATATAATGGAAATCGCACAGAAAATTGCAAGAAGTCATTAAAAATCTTCACAAGTAGCAATAAAGTCTTCAGAAATTGCACTGAAATTGCGCATGTGACCAGTGACTAAGATCAGCAAGTAGTCAGAAGAAGTCATTCTGGGTTGGTTTCCTCCTATAGCTCATTAACATGACTGATACATGAATTGCAGAAAGTAATATCCTGTTTGTTTTACAAGAGCAGAATTGTTTAGTGTCATTACCTTTTTAGATCTGTTCAATTATAACATGCTGAGGAAGAGGGGTGAGCACAGACAGTTTCTAGTTTTCTGAATTCATCATGAAAGCCATGAGAATGTTGGTTTTTGAAAATACATTATAGGTGAAGTTCTTTATACAGCTAGGAAGACTAAACAGACAACAGATACCATCCTGCACACACATCTATGCCTTATTATATTAGGGTAGCCATAAAACAATGCCCATACCCAATGCTAGAATAGCGAGCAACAATCAGAGAGAGTATGGCTTCAGAAAGGATAATGAGACACTGGTCTGCAGTGCTCATTATGGCACAGAAATGTTGCAAAATATCTGATCTTCCACTGGTCCTAGAAAGATTAAAGTGTTACTAAGCCCTTACCCGGCATTCACTATATCTGGTCTCCTACAGTACACAGAAATGCAATTATTTTAGTAAATATAAACTGCTAAATATCTGTTCTCATCAGCAGTTAGAGCAGTTTTCTTTCTGCTCTAGGAGGATGCAAACCCCCTGACCTCTGTCTGGACAGTGCCGATTGACCCTTTTTTTTTTTTTTTTGTGACATGCGTCGCCTGGTTCACGTAGCCCTTGCTTCAAGAACAAGTTATAGACTGGGGCGGGTGCCATTTTGCTATACTGTTGAATTGTAGGCGAGTGGGTGCATTGGACACCCTGGCTGCCATTGTGCTATATGCTGGGTGTCCAGTGCACTCCTGTACTTTTAAGAGGGTTGGGCCCCCTCATGTTCACCTGCCCTTGATCTATCCTTTAAATGCATGTGCCTCTACTATGGGGGCTCTCAAAATTTGTAGAGTTAAGACCACAGAATACCAGGGTGCCGTGATGTGACTCTGTGGCTTACGTATGTATTTGCAAATGTGTGCTAACTAAACGCATACTGTTAGACAGCTAAATTCAGTTGTTGGCAAGCTGGCTGGCAAGTTGATTTTGAACCTCTATATCTTTTTTCTTTTTTGACATGCGTTGCCCGGTTCACGTAGTCATTGCTTCAAAAGCCAGTTATAGACTGGGGCGGGTGCCATTTTGCTATACTGATTGGCCCTGTGCTGATCACATGCACTCTTCCAAGGAAAAAAACAAAAAAAAAAAAAAAAAAAAAAAAAAAAAAAAAAAAAAACCCTCTCTAGCAATACACACTAAACTGAACATGTGCAGAATGGCTATGGTTCAGTCTGTCTTATCAGGAGATAAGACAAGGACATTTGAACAGAAGGAGCAGAGAAGACAGGATCAAAACAACCTTTTTACACAATGCAGAGGATTAACCCCTTAGGTTCCACAGTGAGTGTAACAAGCATGCTTTACTGCATATACAGACTGATTTTACTGTTGTGGGTTTAGTAACACTTTAAAGGCCAACGTATGTCTATTTTCATGCAGCAATGCCAAATTTATAGGTATTGCCTACAGTGGCACTCTACCCACCACATCAATTTTATATAATCTCCTCCTCACCATTCACTAACAGAGTATATATAGAGATTACATTTTTCATATTGGGGAGGTGGAAGAAGAACATCAGGGGACTTCCTGCCTATTAATGTTTTTTGCAGACAACCACCTCCCACCTCCCAGTGAAGTTCACACTGCATATGTGTCACAGGGCTGCTGTAGAACCTGAAATAGAGAGCCAGCACCTATGATGATGTCAGAAGAAGATGGCGATGTAGAACCAAATGTGCTTTGGCAAAGTGGCACAAAGAAAACACCGCTGGTTCGCCAGGCAAGTGGGTATGTTTTTTTTCTGCACAACCCCCACAACCTCCAATACAGGTAGGAGGGGAAAAAGGGAAAAAAAAAAAAAATTAGAACACTAGGACGGAACATTTTTTTCTTTTCAGAGCTCTACCTTTGTATGGCCAGCCTAAAAATTAATACACAGAAAAAAAAAAGAAAAAAAAAAAAAAAAAAAAAAAAAAAACATCAGCTGTGACCAAGATGGCTGATTACAAGCAAACCAAGTTTATCATTCTTTGTTTAATTCTTTTATTTAACGGAAGATACACTTACAGAAAATGCCAGGGGCATGTAGTTTCTACGTCGCACCAGCTTCTTACGGTCACGCTCTATCTTCTCTTTCTGTGCCAGTTGTTGGTAATACTCCAAAAGTTTGTTGATCTTCAATGAGAACCACAAAGTTAAAAAATAAATTTAGAGCACAAGCAAAAATATTTAAAAAAAAAAAAAAGGCAAAAAAACTTTTCAAATGAGATGTATAAAAAACAAAACAAAACAAAAAAAAACACACATCATCACTGGTGACTTGTTTGAACATGCTCCTCTACACTTGAGGGGTAACTGATGTGACACAAATATATATCTATCCATCTATCTCTCGCTCTATAAAGTGACAGTTTCTTTTAAAGTTAATTTGTGCTTTGTCCATCTAGTGCATTGCTCTGGTACATCTTGTTGGTTCTAGCCAGCATAGGCAAAACAAAAAGTTCAGTTTAAAAGGTCAGTTTCACCAGATCAATACAGGATTCTCCACAGGAACAGAAAACTGCTTCAGTAGTATCCTGCAATATCCATCCACAGACCCATTTATTGTTTTGGCACAGAGTGGCAAAAGAAAATTGCTGTCTGTGACCAGGGGGGGGGGGGGTGGGGAGATCTTCCCCGATTTGCCATCTGTTAAAAGCTTGCATCAACAGGACCTTTAGTAATCATACTGCAGCACAAAATAGTTTCATATCTCCCTGCCAAGGTCTATAAAGGCAATCGGAAGGTGTCCTCCCTCCTTCCCTGTAGTCTTTTGGGACACGTGACAGCTCCCAAAAGACTACAGAACCATTCATGCAGTTCAGCGCTACTCGCGCATGCGCAGTGGGTACCCGGCTGTGAAGCCGCAAGCTGTCACAGCCAGGTGCCCACACTGAAGATGCCGGCCTCCTGGAATACAGGACGGCTGGCTATATGGGCTGTGTGGGACACACCAAAGGACCGAGGGACAGGTGAGTGGCTGTTTTTTTTAAAAGTCAGCAGCTACAGTTTTTGTAGCTGCCGACTTATTTTTTTGACAGGGTGAGTGGAACTCCGCTTTAAGGCCTCCAAAGACCTTTTGGAACGGACCATTTTTCAGGGTAAAGCTGTAGATTCACTTACATAAATCACCCTCCCAATGCTCAGCCGCCAGAAATAAAGTTTAAAAAAATAAAAATAAATAGTAAACCCACAGTGTTTCCAGGTATGGAGGGAACAAGTGATTCAACCATCCTTTTATGATGCAGCAATGAGCACATAAGCAATCAATCAGCAGATCCTAGCATTGTAAGTTTGGGGTGAAGAGTGAATCATCAGTATTAAACTCTACATTTACAACTGTCCCCATTTAAAGTATTAAAAAAACAATGTACATATGGAGGTGCTCAGACCTCTGTGGTTAAAGTAGAAATTGGGCAATGTATCTTTGATGTCACCTGCGCATTTGGTTCCATTTACGGCATGGTCAAAGCACGGTGAGGCCATTTCTGCAGATCCCGTGCCTTCGTCATCACTGATTTGTGGCATTGCATTACAATTCCGCAAGACTACAGGTGAATTCACAACTTTCTGAAACACCACATGTGACTTGCAACATCACAGGGGGTGTAAACATTGGGAAATATGTAGGATGTAATCCCAAAACGAACACGAAGCTTGGCTATAACATTTTGCACATGAGCAAGATTACAGCCATGATGGAAAGAATGGGCAAAGGAAAATACACTTATGAGGCGGAAGAAAATAGATACTATGGCACTTGCTTCGCCCAAGATCGATGGGAAAGAAAACAGGCAACAAAACAAGTAAGACGCAACCTAGGGGGAGAAATAATAATGTCGATCATTTTAGAAAGCTATGGCATACTGCCTTTATTAATACGGATACTTAGAGTAGCTGAGTTTGCCCAGATCAACTTAGAGCTGACAAAGTGCTTTTTCTCTTCTTCAGGAAAATACAGCACTGGGGAGCAAAAGGGCAGAAGTGTATGAGAGCGGTGTGTGTGTGGAGAGTAGTTTGGTGAACCTTCGGTTTTGTGCTACACAGCATTCACTTCAATAGTGAACTCAGAAATAACCCTCAAAAAAAATTAGGAGAGTAGACAATTCACAACATTGAAAACAGCAAAAGAAGAAAAAAAAATTCCACATATAAAAAAAAGGAATAAAAGTAGATGAAGAGAAGACATGGCGAGCAGTGAACATTATCGCATTTATTACCAATGACATCAAGTCTACCGCAGACACTGATAAGGTAATGACATCATCTTGGCACAAACATAGAAAACATCAACCTTCGCACTAACTTGCATGTGTAAGGTTAGTGAACTATTCTTTATTAGTCAAATGCAGTGTTTATTTCCAATTACGGCATATTCTGCTTACCCTCTGGGTGTATGGGGTCTCAGGTTCTTGCCACCCGCCGCTAGCTGCAAAACAGAAACAAGATACTTCCTTTAACTGTGTAGCTTTCAGATGAGGAGATTGAGATAAAAACAAACATAAAAAGGATTTCTATTATGTTATGTTTATTAACTGTGAGGCCTCATTTACAGCATTTGCAGAGACAAGTTTTTCTGTATGCGTTCTGCAAGGACACAGAAAAAAAAACAAATTGTTCTCTATGTGCCCTGTTAAAGCGGAGTTCCACCTGAAAAAATAAATAAAATGCCAGCAGCTACAAAAACTGTAGCTGCTGACTTTTAAAATACAGCCACTTACTTGTCCCTCGGTCCAGCGGTGTCGTCAGCACCGTTGGTTTCACCGGCCGTCTTCTCTCCCTAGTGCCGGTATCTTCAGTGTAGGGCACCCGGCTGTGACAGCTTGCGGCTTCACGGCCGGGTGCCCACTGAGCATGCACCTGTCACGCGTCCCAGAAGACTATGAGGAGGACAACTTCTGCTTCCGATCGCCTAGGCGATCGCAACAGAAGTGGGAGAGGGTACCTGTCAAATTTGGGTACCCGCTCCTCAAAAGGTGTCAATCCTTAAAGGGGAGCAGGGGACAAAGGCTTAAAGTGGAACTTCCCCTTTTGGGCGGAACTCTGCTTTAACACCTCAACACTAGTATCGTGCAGGTTTTTTTCTGTGCAGAAATCTGCAACGTGTATAAAACATGGGATTTAAGGTAAGCCGATGTTTCTGCAAGTGAAATCTGCACGGCAATTTCCATCAGTTTTTCTACACTTATGGTGTGAATGAGGCCTGAGTCAAAGTACACTGAAGTTCTGTAATCAGAATATCAGTCCCTTCCCCAAGCATGTAAAATCTGCACCACCAAGCCTTTTTTTCCCCCCTCAAAGAGAAGCTCACCCTAGAATTACCCTAAATTAAACAGCCATAGGAATACTAAACAGCCATAACACATTTAAGCCAGCCATACATGATTCGACAGATTATGCGATTTTCTTTGCTGCAACCATGGGTTGCAGGAAAGAAAAATCACTCAAATCCCTCGCTCAGAACTATTGTGTGCTCTTAGCAGGGAGGCACTGAGGGGAAAGTCGTCCCTGCCAGGAGAATACCGTGAATAAGGCTAGCAGTTATAGCCGCTGGCGATAATCCCATGAAAAAGCCAACAGACTGGCTGTACCGAAGTCGTACAACAATCAAATTGGGTACACCCAGCCTGCCCATAAATGATTCGAATCTCAGCCGGTCCCTTGATAAATGCGCAACACCCAATTTTTACTTTTATTCATGAGCCAATTGTCCAGCAATCAGCTTTGGAAACTGCTGGCCATTTACTAGGCACAGCATTCAACTAATGGTGTCACTCAATCCCCATCAGATATGAGGTGATGGAATGTGTAACATGACAAGAGTGATGCAGAATTACAGAAAAAAAAAAAAAAAAAAAAAAAAAAAAAAAAAAAAACACAAAAAACAAAATCAGTGCATATTCTGTGGTTTCTGACACTTACCCACAGATTTATCCGCCATACCAACATCTCTGGAGGTCCAGCGGCAAAACCCACAGGCCAGATAATAGGCCTTTTTCATGGTGGTTTTGGCCGGGTCATCAGGAAGTGGAGCCGGAATGCTAGTGGCCCGGGTAGAGAGTGTGTGCATACAGCAGGGACAGTCAAAACAGTTGGCACACCTGTATAACAAACCACAAAGCTGTCAGTAAAATTATTAAAAGGGAATGTATAGTGGATGTGTATGCATTGTGTTTATTATGGCGGGTACTAAAATGATGAAAAAAATAATACATTTAAAAAATTTATAATTTTTTCGTTTTAGTTACGTTATTTATTTTCAAAGCAGCCAGCAAGTGGAGTGCTGTGTGCATTTTCACATATTTACAGAGTAGCAGTTCAAATGACTTTATTTCTAAATAAAACAGCAGTTGAGCTGCTAGATACAAGGGAGGTTTTCTCACATCTAGTAGACTAGTCCTTTGAATGATGTGTTTAACTTTCAACCAGTATTAAAGGATCTCTTTGGTCTCTCAGTTGATCGCTCTGTTTCATAACAGCCCAAACTTTATAAGTAGCCAAAAGGAGGAGGAGAGAAAAGAGAAAAAAAAATAAAAAGCAGCTTGGTATGCCTCACCCGGTAAATGTCAGATGATCAAGTTCTAGAAGTCCTTCACTACACACCAATAAAGCATTAGCTGTGAAAAGTATCGGAAGTCAAAGCTTATTTTTGGATAGAGTATGGGGTGGTTAGCAATCCCCAATTTGGATTTTCACTTTGTAACCATTGTCTCTGGGGACTGAAACTGAAGCAAAAATTCAAAATTCACAGAAACAAGAAAAGAAATGAAAACAAATCTTCCAATGGAAACAACTGCAGCGTGGAATATGTTTTTACAATGATAAATAATATATCTATGACATGGTATTCTAACGATATACCATGAAGACCTTAATGAAAGGATTCTGAGACTTTATGTAAAGTCCTACATTATTGCAAGTTTTCTCAGCTGAAGACAAGTGAATCCTGGAATACAGTTCAAGTAACACTACTTCTCAATGAAGGTCTCAAATCAAGTGAAATATGCATTTCTGCCACCAGGGGGCACTGCAGGGGAAAGGCTCCAGTTTAGTTTGTGGACTCCATCTTTTACCTCCTACAGTTGGGCGATTGTTAGGATGCAGATCGTATTAGTTCTCCAGGCCTTAACTGACACATAAGAGGGTAACTTTGTCGAACAAATGAATTTATCTTCATAACCTTTAAATGATTCCTATTAATGTTCTCCACCATCACAGCATAGTCTGGTCAGTACATTGTTTTTTTCTTTTCCTCCTCTCCAGTGGTGTCACTACAGGGGGGCAATGCACCCCCCGGTTATTCCTTGCCACCAGTTAAATTAGGTTCATACAACTTTGCTCTTTGGCCTTCTTTCACATGTATTGCCGCTTGGGTGTGCGCACACAGGTAGATGCATTGTTCAGCTGCCGGGCAGAAATCCAAAAGAGGCACAGAACGTTTGGGGGCACTTCCCTCCCCCTGTCTACTCCCCCAGCAGCTCTGTCCAGGTGCTCTCATTGGACTCCGGTATCCCCAAGGCAGAGCCTGAGAGCCTTTGCCGTGTGAGAGGATGTGGCCAGCCTCAGAGATGATCGCCTAAGCCCCGCCACCATTCTTTCTTCTGATGCAATGTGAGCAATGAAGGCAAGTTCTGTGGCTGTGGGATTTCTTGATTTACAGATGATTAGCAAAACTGCTGCTGACATTGTGAAAGTCTGCAATGGGCATATACCTTTTTTCTCTCCATGTAGCACAAGTAGCGACCGTGAGAAATTGGGTTTAAAACTGCACTGTCAAATTTCTCACTGTCAGAACAATGCTACATGAAAAAACGAGATACCATCTTTGTCAGCTAACTGCAGTTTTTTACTTCTAAAAGTTTAGATAGAAGTAAAAAAGTGCTGTTTGCTGACAAAGATGGTATCTCCTTTTTCCATGAAGCATTGTTCTGAGAAATTAGTTTTAAACCCAATTTCTCACAGTCACTGCTTGCCATCGCCATCACTAAAGCCCCGTTCACATCTAGGCATTTTGTATCTCGGGGGGGGGGGGGGGGGGGGAAAAAAAAAAAAATTAAAAATAAAAAAAAAATAAAAAAATAAAAAATTGCTGCAATTCTGCTCTTGATCCCAAAATATTCAGCAAAAAATGACAAATCATACCATGCATGTTTAAGTGCCATTCATTTTCAATGGCACCTACATGCAGTGCAGTTTTGCTGCGACTGTTGCGCGATAAATCACGCTATAATCGTGGCGGATTGCATCGCACAAAGCTTGTCGCCCAAAAAAGGAGCAGGAGCTTCTTTTGGGCAACAAGCTTTGCACAATGCAGTTTAGCGTGATTTATCACACGACGCTCGCGGCAGAACCGCACCACATTTAGGTGCAATTAAAAATACATGGCACCTAAACGCATGGTGCGATTTGTTTTGGGATCGCAGGCAGAATTGACCAAATTTGAATAGGGCTTGAGGCTTCTTTCACACAGCAGGTGCAATCAGGTCTGTCAGTTTTTGAGGTGGACCTGATCAGACCCTCCATTCATCCCTATGGACAAGCAGATGTAAAAATGCTCGTGTCCATTTACACCAGCCGTCCCGCTGACCTCTTCTGTACGCCGTCCCGCTGACCTCTTCTGTACGCCGTCCCGCTGACCTCTTCTGTACGCCGTCCCGCTGACCTCTTCTGTACGCCGTCCCGCTGACCTCTTCTGTACGCCGTCCCGCTGACCTCTTCTGTACGCCGTCCCGCTGACCTCTTCTGTACGCCGTCCCGCTGACCTCTTCTGTACGCCGTCCCGCTGACCTCTTCTGTACGCCGTCCCGCTGACCTCTTCTGTACGCCGTCCCGCTGACCTCTTCTGTACGCCGTCCCGCTGACCTCTTCTGTACGCCGTCCCGCTGACCTCTTCTGTACGCCGTCCCGCTGACCTCTTCTGTACGCCGTCCCGCTGACCTCTTCTGTACGCCGTCCCGCTGACCTCTTCTGTACGCCGTCCCGCTGACCTCTTCTGTACGCCGTCCCGCTGACCTCTTCTGTACGCCGTCCCGCTGACCTCTTCTGTACGCCGTCCCGCTGACCTCTTCTGTACACCGTCCCGCTGACCTCTTCTGTACACCGTCCCGCTGACCTCTTCTGTACACCGTCCCGCTGACCTCTTCTGTACACCGTCCCACAAATTATTGACCTCTTCTGTACACCGTCTACAAACTACTGACCTCTGTTCACTGCTCTGCATTCTACTCTTGAAAGTGTGTCTTTCAAGTGTTAGGTTAGCACAATAAAAAGGTATCATTGCATACTGCATTACTCTCGTATTTTGTAATCTTAGTTATATATAAACTTTAGTTTTTTTCAGTGGAATGATTTAGTGGTGAAAATTATTAATGCCCACCCCAGTTTTGTCCGTATTAAGTGCCGCCGCCCCCCCCTATATATTGTTCCTAGAGTTGCCACTGCTCCTCTTGGTAAAATGGTGAGACTAGTATCTAGAGTATGAAAACATTTCCACGGTGCAATTTCTGCTTAGAGTAAAGCTGCAATTTGCAGAAGAAACACATCCTTGCATGCCAGAGGTGCCCTAAAGACATCATTCAATTCATAAAGAATTTTGTAATGAGGAACAAAATGAAAGTGCAGGTAGCTTTTCCCTCCAGAGTTCTCAGTTCAGAAACAATTTCTGCTATTAGTGCTAAGGGGCAAATCTGTTTTTTTTTGGTAAGTAGGTTGCTTGCTCTTTTGTTGCTTTTGAGGGGAAGAAGGGTGGTTACCTGTCCTTATGTATAGTTGAAAAATTCCTAACATATACAGTCCTTGTTATTCTACTAGTAATAAAAAAAATAGGATTTTAAGAAGCAAGTTATTTACTGAATTAGCTGTACTTTTATTTCAAGCATAATACTTAATAAAGTTGTAAAACTACTCCACACGGATTTCTTTAATTTTTCTGAAAACTTTCATTTTTCTCAGAAAGAAATTAAAAAAAAAAAAAAAGAAAAGCATTTTGGCTTCAAAATTTACATCTTTTGGTACACATAAAAGCAAGCAATACATAATTTGTAGGCGATTTACAGAAACAGACAAACCTGTTCTTCTTCAGCTTTGCCTCAGCTGACGGCATATTTTCCAAACAGCTGGGACAGTAGTGTGAGTCCACCTGCGAAAAATTAAAAAACAAAATTATTGTATTAAAAACAAAAATAAGGTATTAAAAAAAAAAGTACACTTTACATACAGTCTAAACCTGGCCATACATGGCCTAAAATTAATTTCTGCTGAATTTTGAGCCTTGGGTGCTCCTGTAAGCAGCATAAAGCCAGGGAAATGACTTAAAAATTGACTGAGGTTTACCTTACTTCAGCCAGCAAGATTGTCCCCTAATGCACCAACCTTATTCAGTCATTATGGTGTCCTTGGGGCCATTCTGTAATCATTTCCTTAAAAGGCAAGTTCAACTTTTAATGAAAGGTGAGCTCCAAATATCTTGGCCACCCCTCTGAACCCAGCTGCATATAGTAGTTGTGATGCCCTGTGTTGCAGATGTACAGCTCTATACACAGTAGTACACGGCCCTGAGTGACTATCCATAATCATGCTTGCAATGACAAGCGCTCATTGGTCAGTGAAAGCATGTGACCTTCAAAAACAAACAAAACATGCCAGCTCCCTTACCAGCTAGCCCGGGGGTGGGCAAACTTTTTGACTTGAGGGCCGCAATGGGTTCATATATTGGACCCGGGGGCCGGACCAAGAGTAGATGAATGATGTGTATGTGTCATCCATAGTAAGTATAGTAATATTATTATTATTACTACGAGTTTATATAGCGCCAAAGGGTTTGCTCAGCGCTGTACAATAGGGGGGACAATACATGGCACAGTACAACAACAACAAACAACGTACGAGGGGTACTAAGAGTTTATATAGCGCCAAAGGGTTTGCTCAGCGCTGTACAATAGGGGGGACAATGCATGGCACAGTACAACAACAACAAACAACATAATATTCCCCCATAGTAAGCATAGTAATTCATCCCCCATAGTAATTCATTCCCCCATATAGTAATTCATCCCCCCATATAGTAATTCATCCCCCCATATAGTAATTCATCCCCCCATATAGTAATTCATCCCCCCTATAGTAGTTCATCCCCCCTATAGTAGTTCATCCCCCCTATAGTAATTCATCCCCCATATTAAGTCCCCCAAGTCCCCCCTGTGTCAATTCACTTACCTTTGCTCCGCGCTTTCCTCTCGCCGTGTTCCTGCGCCGTTCCGGTGTAGCATGAAAATCTGTCTCCTATGAGGATCTGTCCCCCTCGACGTATCTGCGCATGTGCCAGTTTCAGGCATTAGCAGCCGATCGGCGATCTCCGGCACATGCGCAGATACGTCGAGGGGGACAGATCCTCATAGGAGACAGATTTTCATGCTACACCGGTCTTCAGGGCGGACTGTGAGAGGAGCCTAGCGGGAGCCTAGCTCCGCGGGCCAAATTAAAAGGTCAGCCGGGCCGTATACGGCCCGCGGGCCGTAGTTTGCCCATTGCTGAGCTAGCCTGTAAAACCCAAATTGACCCCAACAGTTCCAGTTCAAAACAAGGGGTTTAGTCGCACAAATTTGCAAACGTGTGTAAGCCACAGTGACCACATCAAGGTACCCCAGTCTACTGCGGTCCTAAAGCCAGCCATACATGGGTTGAATTCCAAAAGAATTTTTCTTTAGAAAATCTTTTCTAAGAATTTCTATTTGAATTTCTCCCCATTAGTGGGCCACAGCATTGGCCAACTTTCGTGTGACCAGCGAATTTGAGTGATCAGGTATGTTGAAAATTTTTTTGAAAAACTAACAAATGTCTAATCAATGATAGGATAATCGTGCGAGAAATGTAATTGAAAAAAGGCATGAGCTGTGACCTGGAAAAAAAAGAAAATTCTTGGCCACAAAAATTATGGCAACATAAGGTAAAATTAAAGGCTTGGCTGGTCAAATTTAAAAATCAATGGTGGTACGATTGAAATACAAAAAACACAAAATTTCTGATTTTCTAAAGAAAATTTGTTTGGAATTTGACCCAACTATTGCCTGCATAACTCTATAATTTCCAGAGTCTCTCAAGCTGGAGCACATATCAGTGTATAGATTAAGAGAAGGTGTGCCTGGAGGTAGCCCACCCCTCTTAAAGGTACAGGGATGCACGGGACACCCATCCAAGGCACAATGGCAGCTGAAGGTATCTAGTGCTTCCGCTCGTCAACTGTACAAACAAATGGCAACTACCCCAACTTATAACTAGCCTTTGCAGCAAGGAGCACATGGAAGGGCAACACTTGTCAAAAACAAACAAAAATCCCAGCTCACTTACCAGCTAGCCTGCAACAAAACCAAAATGAACCTAACAGTTCACATTCAAAACATGGGATAAAGCTTGTGGCCTCGCTGATCAATAAGAACTGCTTTCTTTTGGGACGCATTACCAGAACAAGGAGCTCAGATGCACTCCTGAATGGTCAGCATGGTTACATGGCTGTGTTGACCAATGAGCGCTTTCCATTTTGAGCATTATGATGAATACTCATTCCAGGGCTATATACTGTGCTGCATGAACCACTATGACCACTAAACCATGCAGCACAGGGCATCACAGCCACTATGCACAATGGGGTCTAGATGGGTGGCTAGGATATTTGGAGTTCACCTTTTCACTTTGGCAAAAGAAAAAAAAAAAAAATTACTGAACTGAGTGGAAAAAGATTGGCCAAAGAAGGACTGTATCAATTTAGATTCAGTCACTGTTCAGGTATTTAGACAGCTGGGGGTGCTGAGGTTTTCTGAAAAAAAAGGTGGCAGTTCAGACTTCTCCATCCACATTGTTTAGTATCGATAGGGGAATTTGCTGAACATCCATTGTGATAGCTTTGGCAGTGACAGGTACTCTGAGAGATTAGGGATCTATTAGTCCCACGATCCCTCCAAGGCAGCCGATCAAATCTTTTCCTGGCTAGTACTGGCCAGGTAAACACTGAAACCAGAAATGACAAAATTCACATCAATCCCAGCTTCATTTGAGACAGAGGAATGGGGAATGACCTTACTGCTTGCAGAGGTCCCGGGCTAATTGGTGGAATGGAAAGCCTGGGAACAACGGCAGAGGGGGTGTGTGTGTTTCCAATCCTGTATAAGTGATTGGGTGGCTTTAGAGTTGCTTGGATCACTTTTACCTGAAGACCAATCACCGGATGAAAAAATTTGATACCCAGATGAAGGCTGCAGATGGACAGGAGGTGGTTCAAAGTGTGACATCACCACACTTGGGCTCCATTGAGATGAGTCCCTTGGCTGTGCTGGAGGATGGGACCTGTAATATCTCCATTCACAGACAGTCCGAAGTGCCTGTCTGCATCCCCACTAGAGTTACTCTCTCTCTATGGACTGTGACAGGTCTTCTTTATAGAGAAATCTGGGCTCTAATAGACCCTAGACCTCTCCTCTGCCCTCCAAAGCAGCCAATCAAACCAAGATCAGTTTCATCAGCTGCTTTACAAACCAGTAACGGCTTGTGAACAAACAAACCAAAATGTTCCTTTCACTCTTCACAGTGCATCCAATTAGACCGGTTGCATCAGTCCTGGGCACCCCGGTGGCACAGGAAGGCCAGCAAGCGGAGACCCTGTTGCGCCACCTGAAAAAGTGATCGAGCAGCTGTATAGCCACATTGATCACATTTGCATAAAAACAGATGTTGGATCTGTGCACCCGCTCCAGCCCATGTGTCAGATGTTGACATGCAACTGTGTCCATGCAGCTGCTGCATCTACCACATCTATGCACTTCCTGCACTCAGCTCCAAGGTGGATGTACACACAACTCTGCATGAAGCAGGGGTCTCCAAACTTTTCAAACAAAGGGACGGTTTATGGTCCTTCAGATTTTAAGAGGGCCGGAGTGTGGCCATTGGGGGTAGAAAATGTTACGGGCTCAGCATCAGTGAGAACATGGCCTCAAGGATGGTGGTCAGTAGGAGGGAGAGTAGTGCCCATCAATGGTATTAATGGGAGGAATAGTACCACATAAGTGTTATCAATAGTTCCCCATTGTTTGTGCAAGTGGGGGGAATACGGTTTCATATCAGTGGGAGGAATACTGCTCCAAGGACCGGATAAAGGCTAGCAAAGGGCCACATCCAGCCCTCGGGCCGCAGTTTGGAGACCCCTGGCATGGAAGATGGGACGCAGCACCTGTCTGAATGAGCACTTGTTCTGTAAAGCAATGCACATACTGTTGGCCCAGTATAAATCTTTAACCCCTTCCCGATCGCCAAATAGCAGAAATACTGCTACTGGGTGGCAGGGTTGTGCAAAATCACATATATATATATATATATATATATATATATATATATATATATATATATATGCGCGATTTGATGTTCCGGTTAGGGGCCATTTGCGGCCTTGGCTTTTTACATGATTGTGTATTTCTGGGTAGGGGACGCGTGCGCCGCCCTACCTGCCCTGTCATTGGTGGCTACAGCTTTCAATCACCGGGTCCTGGCCAGAGATGCCCCGCCGGCACTCTGCGATGTATACAATACAGATCTCTCCAGTCAGCACCAGCATAGCAGAGCAATACAAAGCAGCGTGCTTACACAGCACAACACAGTAAAACAGCACACAGTTAACCCTTTGATCGCCCCAGATGTTGACCCCTTCCTGCCCAGTGCCATTAGTACAATGTCAGGGTTTTTTTTTTAGCAAAGACACGTAGCAGAATACATGTTGGTCTAAATATATGACAAAATTAGATTTTTTACTGGATGTTTTATAGCAAAAAAGTAAAAGATATTGGGGTTCGCTGGTATCTGGTTCCTACGCGCCTTGCTAAAATGTACCCTTCAGTATCACCTAGTTGCTTCCGACGCTGCAGACAAGAGGGCACTATGTTCCATATCTGGTGGAAATGTCCGGTAGTGAATAGGTTTTGGATCCGAATGTTTAATTTTATCTATTCGGTAACAGCAATTAATATTCGTAGATCACCGGAAGTGGCCTTATTTCATTTGCTACCCGCTGACGTTCCCCAAAAAATCAACTAAATTAATTCTATACCTCTTACTGGCGGCACACATTACCATATCTAGAAGTTGGAGACAATCACTGATCCCGCTAGACGGGGTTAAACAAAAACCTAATTGGATAATGGTAAATGATAAACTTACAAGCATTGTCAATAATGAGATTTCTACATTTGAGGTGATGAGGGAACCATGGATCAGATATATATCTATATCCTAATAGTACCGCAGATCACCCTCTCTCTCCTCTCCCCCTTGGGTGTTTCCCCCCCTCCCTTTTTTTTTTCCCCTCTTTTGTTTTCTGTCTTCTTAATTCCTCTCTCTTCTCTTGAATTGTTTGTATACGTTTGGTGCATTTCTGTTGCATTATCTGGGTTCATTAACAGGAAGTTTTGCTACGTGGTGGAGATGGTGTTCTTTTTACATATCACCAATGTCTAATAATGTTTCTCTTTCATATGTTTAACTGTTCTATGAATACGATTGTGCATTCCGTTTCACCATGTAGGTGGCAATTGCTGCTATATTTTTGTATTCTACTGTATACCAATTTTTCAATAAAAATATTGAAGTATAAAAAATATTGGGATTTCAATGTTTGGTCTTTGATTATAGTGCAAAAAATAAAGCACAGCTGATCAAATGCCACCAAAAAAAGCTCCAATTGTGGGGGGAAAAAAAAGGACATAAAATTTGTGTGCAGCGTTGCATGACCGCGCAATTGTCAAAGTAATGCAGCGCCGTATCGCAAAAAATGGCTTGGTGAGGAAGGGGGGTAAATTCTCTGGAGGGCAAGGGGTAATTCTAATAATAATCTGCTAGATCAGCAATATTTATAAAGTAGACATTGACAACACTCGGAATTGTACTCCGACTGCAGCTGTCAGATATAAATTCACAGAAGGTAGATCAGTATACAACCACCATGATTGCTAGGCCTCAAGCCTCGGCCTCTAGTTAAGAAGCACACCAGCAGCCATGCCAAATCATTCTCTAGGCCGATGACAGTGTCTGACATAACAGCCCTCCAACCAGCGCATAGAACACTGCTACAATAGACCAATCACGGCAAGAAACTAAAACCACGCCCTCCTCTGCTAAACATCAACTTCACAGGAAGGCGGGCATCATGGCTTAGCAGCATTAAGTAACCAATCGGACTCCATCCGTAGGAGTTTCCTACTCGGCTATTGGCTAGCTCCAGGAGCCTTCTGACAGAGATGCCGGATCAGTACGGAGGAAAGAGCGGCCGTGTTATTTACCTCGTGAGAGACACATTCCAGGGAACGCAGCTCACTGCAGTATCGGCAGAAGTAGAGCTGAGACAGCGGCGCCCGAATCTCCTTCTCACCGTGTACCAAATACAGCACCCTCTCCAGCTGAAGCAGCGACGCCATTTTGCATAGAACCCCGCCCTCGAGGTCACATGACCAGGGTGGAGAGCGTCTTGTCTGTAGCTACGTAATGGATCCGTGTCATGTGGCTTACGTTCTCCGCCCCGCCCACCTCTTTCTAGGGTCTAACTTGTTAAAGGAACCTGCCACTTTCTGTTTAATTCCCTCTAATACAGGTTATAGACGGGTCGAAAATCGGACGATTTTTCTTAAAAAAACGAAAAATCGGTCGTTCAAGCGGCCAACGTTACCAGCAACGGTAAAAAAAAAATAGGCCGATTTTCATCCCATCTACAGCCGGCAAAAAGTGTCCTTGCAGAGAGCTCCGCTATTTCTTTGACAGTTCCTTGACATTTATAGTGGTTGCAACAATGTATCTATTTGTATCCATTTAGGATACAGATGGTTTTATTCGGAAACAAATAGATACATTGTTGCAACCGCTATAAATGTCAAGGAACTGTCAAAGAAATAGCGGAGCTCTCTGCAGGGACACTTTTTGCCGGACTGGAATTCCTCTTCTTCTTCTTCATTCTCTTCCTCTTCTTCATCCTCTTCTTCTTCATCCTCTTCTTCTTCATCATCATCCTCTTCTCCTTCTTCTTCATCCTCTTCTTCCTCTTCTTCTTCCTCTTCTTCATCCTCTTCTTCATCCTCTTCCTCTTCTTCTTCCTATTCTTCTTCCTCTTCTTCCTCTTCCACTTCTTCTTCTTCCTCTTCTTCATCCTCTTCTTCTTCTTCATCCTCTTCTTCTTCCTCTTCCTCTTCTTCTTGTTCTTCTTCATCCTCTTCTTCTTCATCCTCTTCTTCTTTTTTTCTTCTTTTTGTCTTCCTCTTGCAGGTCACTGCTCATGCGCAGATTTTTTTATAGGTAAAAAGATCGGCCGATTTGCCCATCATTGCCGCGAAAATCTTTTTTTCCAACTTTACCGATAAAAAAAATCTGCCAAAATACCGAAAAACGGCCACAATTAGCCCACTAACGATCCGAAAATCGTCCGATTTTATTTTTGGCTGAAAAATCGGCCAATTTTCGACCCATCTATGGATGCATAATGCAGGCCATGGACGGGTCGAAAATTGGCCAATTTTTGCACCGTTAGTGGGTTAACTGGTTGGCCGTTTTTTCGGGGTTTTGGCACATTTTTTTATCGGTAAAGTTGGAAAAAAATCGGCTGATTTTCCCAGCAATGATGGGCAAATCGGTTGATCGTTTTACCGATAAAAAATCTGCGCATGAGCCTCAACATGCAAGAAGAAGAGAAGATAAAGAAGAAGAATTTCAGTCCGCTATTATATTTTATATGAAAAGTATTACGGTTGCAACAATGTATCTATTTGTATCCGAATAAAAACATCTGTATCCGAAATGGATACAAATAGATACATTGTTGCAACCACAAGACTTTTTCATGTCAAATATAATAGCGGAGCTCTCTGCAGGGGCAGAAGTAATTAAATGCCGGCAGTAAAAGGGACGAAAATCGGCCGATTTTTTTTTTTTTTTACCATTGGTGGTAACGTCAGCCTATTGAACGACCGATTTTTAGTTTTTGTTTTTTTTTAAAAAAACATCTGGTTTTCGACCCGTCTATGGCCTGCATAAGGCTTCTTTCACCCAGGCGTGCCGTATGTCTGCTTTTCATCTGTCCGTTACTGATGAAGAATGGACCCCCATGTATTTCGGTGGACTAGCGGATGTAAAACGGATGATCATCTGCTTACATCCGTTAATGTCGTTTTTTTTTTTAACAGAAGAAAACCCTATTTTTCTTCCTTAACCACTTCCATAGCGGACACTTTTACCCCTTTCCTGCCCAGGCCATTTTTCAGGTTTCAGCGCTCTCACACTTTGAATGACAATTGCGCGGTCATACAACACTGTACCCAAACTAAAATTTTATCATTTTCTTCACACAACTAGAGCTTTCATTTGGTGGTGTTTAATCATCGCTGGGGTTTTTTATTTTTTGCTAAATTAACAATAAAAGACAACATTTTGGAAAAAAAAACATTTCTGTTTCTTTTATAAAAGTTTTCAAATAAATAATTGTTCTTCATAAATTTAGGCCAAAATGTATTCTGCTGCATTTCTTTGGTGAAAATAACCCAAATCAGTATTTTTTAATAAACTTTAGGAAAGTTAGAGTTCACAAACTATAGGATAGATCTGAATATTGATCAATCCTGAAGTACTGACAGCCAATCTAATTTCTTGAGGTCCAAGAATGTCAGAACAGTACAGATATCCCCCAAATGACCCCTTTTTGCTAAGTAGACAGTCCAACGTACTTCATGAGAGGCATGGCGAGTTTTTGGAAGTTGTAATTTTTTTGTCATAATTTTTTAGAAAATGAAGAAATTAAAAAAATGTTCACAATTTTTTTTACATACTGTCACCAGTGCAGTACAGCGTCATCATATAACTGGCACGGCGGTGATCAGGGACACTGACTGGTGACAGTATGAAAAAAAAATTGATCTTTTTTTTTTTTTTTTATTATTATTTTCTTTTATTTTTTTAAGATTTGTTTTCATATTACACTATGAAAAAGGTAGTATAATGTTACCAAAGTAACATTGTACTACTTTGGGGAAGTGATCAGAATTTTTTTTTTTACACAATTTAATTGCTTACAGCAAAGAATTTCTTTGCTATAAGCAAGCATTTAACTGAATGAAATCGATTCATTCAGGTTTTTTTGTTGTGATTAGCTGTGTTTGGCCATGGCTAATCACATGACACAGATTGGCTGTGATTGGCCCAGCCTTTTCATGTGATCACTGGGACCATTCACAGCTAGACACACTTGTATACAATGGGGGGCATGAAAGGAAGCCATCCATTGTATACAACTGTCATATGACTGCTGTTATTGGTCACAGCAGGTCACATTGTATCAGCAACGAGGCCAGTAAACAGATCTGTCATGGGCAGTGTGAGGTACAGATCTCGCCACAACGCGGCCCTGCGGGCACACGCAAGGGGCAATCCAGTAAGGATGTCATATGACGTCCTACTGGAGGGACGAGAGGCTGGGTAGGAAGTAGTTAAAAAAACCTGGAACGGATGAAAAATGGCTGAAAACGGATGAAAAAACTGATGTAAACTGATGAAAAACGGATGTAAACTGATGAAAAACAGATGTAAACTGATCCGTTTTTGCTTGGAAAAAACGTGACTGAACTGATGCAAAAAACGGAACGCCTGTATGAAAGGGGCCTAATGATTATCATCTTTCTTTTCAGCTACAGCCTCCAGAGAGCAAACAGTAATGTCTGCAGAAATAACAGGAAATATTCTTACTTTTCCCAGCAGCCCCTTGAAACGACACCAAGGTTCTGCTCTTTGGCCCAAAATATTCAACACGTTCAGGTGTGTGGAGTTCCTGGTACTCCCACCTCAGGTAGTGGTTCCTCCTGCAACGTTTGGCTTCTTGGCCTTTTGGCTAAGACCAAGCTCGGTATCTGTTCTTACCAGTGCCCAGTAGGGGTGTTCCACCATCATTTTGCCAGGATTGTCTGGCTGTATAGTATTCTTGCTGGCATGTTGGAGGTTCCTGAGGGATCCTTATCATGGAAACCTGAATTAAGTGCCCCCTGGGTAAGGTTGGGGTTGGCAATACATCTTTGGTATGCAGGGCACAGAAGTACCCAGTGCCTCCTGATCTCAGTGATGTTATCTGGTCCAGCTGAGGGCTTGGTATCAAGCATCCCATGGGAGTGGTGACCAAGGGGTATCGCGGTAAAATTTTGAGTTTGGGGCCTCACCATGTGAGACTGCACTGCCATGACACCACCTGCTTTTTTGTGCATTTTACCTCACAGGCTTTACCAGCCTTTTTCAGCCAGGGTTCCCAGGCACCCTGGGGTGCCTTGAGGTTCTTCAGGGGTGCCTTGGTAAAATGTCTAAAAATTGCCCAAAACTTGTTCACAAGCCAGCAGGTGGAACAAACCTGCCTTTTAGTTACACAAAGCCACAGGTTTTCATTGTGCACCATGACGACCTTTAATCGCTGGCATCCTGATAACCAATGACATCATCAATTGAAGAGAATGTCAGTTGCCTGCACAGCATCCTTGTTTGATCCTCTCTTGCCTCTCTTCATCAGCACTGGGGGCACATTAACTGAGTGAGGGAGAAGAGAAACACTGGAATACTAGTCAGTACCAGTGTGCAAACGTGTATTTGCTTTGGAAGAATAAATCACCTCTTTGGGTGTCCTACATGTGTGGATGTTTCTGCACTATATAAAATAAATCTATTAAAATCGTTTTTTTTTATTTTAGAATGGGGTGCCTCAAGACTGTCCATAATTTATAAGGGTGCTTCAGGACTGTTCATAATTTTAGGGGTACCTTGACATTGTCCATAATTTTAAAGGGTGCCTTGACTTAAAAAAAGGTTGTGAAACTGGGGCTAGACTGGGCAAGATTGGGGCAATTTTTGACACCTGCAATGCCCAGGCATTGTATTATACACTGGCACTAGCCATGAGGAGAGGGATTCAGCAGGCCTTTTGGCTAGGTGAATCAGAGTGTCCTTTCCCCTGTCAGGAGCCTTGTGTCTGGGGGGGTCAGGGACAGTCTTTCCTCCACAAGAGGGGACCAGTGACAACCACTGTGCACTTTGTGAGTTTCACATGCACTTTTCCGGTTCACTTTAGTTTTATGCCCTTCGCACTGCAGAATAAAAAAATTAAAAAAGTCACTACAGGGACATACATTCATCGGCCACTTTATCAGGTACACCTGTTCAATTGCTTGGTAACACAAACTGATAATCAGCCAATCACATGGCAGCAACTCAATGCATTTAGGCATCTAGACGTGGTGAAGATGACTTGCTGCAGTTCAAACCGAGCATCAGAATGAGGAAGAAGGGGGAAGGAGGACTTTGAACGTGGCATGGTTGTTGGTGCCAGACGGGCTGGTCTGAGTATTTAAAAAACTGCTGATCTACTGGGATTTTCATGCACAACCATCTCTAGGGTTTTACAGAGAATGGTCCGAAAAAGAGAAAATATCCAGTGTGCGGCAGTTGTGTGGACGAAAATGCCTTGTTGATGTCAGAGGTCAGAGGAGAATGGACAGACTGGTTGATGCAACATTCAGATGGTAGGGTCAGAAACAACATGAAAGCATGGATCCATCCTGCTTTGTATCAACAGTTCAGGCTGGTGGTAGTGGTGTAATGGTGTGCGGGATATTTTCTTGCCACTAGCAAAGTGTACCTAATAAAGTGGCTGTGAGCGTATGAATCAGCACAAACCACTGCATTCAACAGGGGACGTTCAACTCACCCAGACCATCATTTAGGCGATCTTTGAAAACTCACTTCTTCAGGGAAGCCTACCTCATCTCCACCTAAGAACTGTACTTGAATCACCTCCACCAGATCATCCCCTGCAGCTATCACCTTTTGTATCACCTCCCCCTTCCTTTAGATTGTAAGCTCCACGAGCCAGGCCCTCACATTCCTTCTGTACTGAAATGTATTGTAATTGTACTGTCTCCCTTATATTGTAAAGCGCTGAGCAAACTGTTGGCGCTGTATAAATCCTGTATAATAATAATAATTTGCAAAACACTTGGTGGAAGGCTTGACACTCCAACCTTCATCTTGCAACACTCAAGTAACAGGTTCTTCCTTTATGCATCAAAATAAACACACTATATTGCCAAATGTATTGGGCGGCCTGCCTTTACACACACATGAACTTTAATGCCATCCCAGTCTTAGTCCGTAGGGTTCAATATTGGGTTGGCCCACCCTTTGCAGCTATAACAGCTTCAACTCTTCTGGGAAGGCTGTCCACAAGGTTTAGCAGTGTGTCTATGGGAAGGTTTGACCATTCTTCCAGAAGCGCGAGGTCAGGCACTGATGTCGGACGAGAAGGCCTGGCTCACAGTCTCCGCTCTAATTATTCCCAAAGGTTTCCTATCAAGTTGAGGTCAGGACTCTGTGCAGGCCAGTCAGGTTCCTCCACCCCAAACTCACTCATCCATGTCTTTATGGACCTTGCTTTGTGCACTGGTGTGCAGTCATGTCGGAACAGGAAGGAGCCATCCCCAAACTGTTCCAATAAAGTTGGGAGCATGAAATTGTCCAAAATGTCTTGGTATGCTGACACCTTAAGAGTTCCCTTCACTGGAACTAAGGGGCCAAGCCCAACCCCTGAAAAACAACCCCACACCATAATCCCTCCTCCACCAAACTTTACACTTGGACTGGTTATACCGGGATGATGCCTGCAGCTACAGGCATCATCCTGGTATAATTGTTTTCAGCTGGTGGTCAGCTTTATAAAAGCAATCCTAGTGGCCAATTAGCTGCTGAATTGTTTTTACAAGCAGTGGAAAGGGACACCCACTGTTTTATTCTCTAGGGCTTCTGCTTTAAAAAAAGATATAATGTTTGGGGGTAGTTTTCTAGCAAAAACACTGTTTTTTCATGTGAGCAAAGTGTCAGAAAAAGGCTTGGTCTTCAAGAGTGGGTGATGTGTGGTATACAGTAAGCTTCTAATGTTGGCCCTGAAATGCCAGGATAGTAGAAGCCCCCCCCCCTCCAACTGACCCCTTTTTGGAAAGAAGACACTCCAAGGTATTTGCTAAGAGGCATGGTAAGTATTTTGCAGATTTGCGATGCGAAACATGTTGTCTTACACATGTCGTCTTTCACACCTGCAAATTATTATTATTATACAGTATTTAGCGCTAAAAGGTTTGCTCAGCGCTGTACATTATAGTGGGGGACAGTACATGAGACAATACAGTAACAAAACAAAACACGAGGGGTTCCAGGGCCCTGCTCTTTCGAGCTTACAATCTAGGAGGGAGGGGATAGTGGCACAGGAGGAAGTGGCTGTGGGGGAAGGAGTCCTGGGAGGAGAGGAGGAGATCGGCTGTTAGGTGGTGAGGGCGAGGTAGGCTTCCCTGAAGAGATGAGTTTTCAGGGTGCGCCTAAAGGTGAAGGTAAAATGCATGAAGTTAAAAAACCTTGAGCCTTTTCAACCGCTTTACTAAATACATACATTTGGATGCTGCTAGCTAGAATTTTTTTTTGTCTAACCCCTTTACTTTAAGGATTGTTTTTATCTTTCTTGCAGATCTTTCCAAATCCATTTAAACCTCATGACAATTTAATGCCCACTCCAGTGTAAACTTTTTATTTTGCTTTCAATAGGGCAGGGAAGGGTTAGAACCTTTGTCAATTTTTTTTACAACTGTAACTCTTTTAAGAATATTTCCCCTCATTTTGTATTGGATTAGGAAGTAGTAGAACAGAACTAGAAGAGGAAGAGTAATCTCTTCAACGACGACACAGAACAAAAAAAACTAGTAAAGCGGGGGACGGTTAGAGACAACTGTATCCCGCCTACCTGTTTCCTATTCAGGCATCACATTGAAATTAGGGAAGGACAGTGTTCATAATGAGGTCACCGAAAGATATACAAATCTGGCAAACATTTTAAGTCTTCCTCATTCAATCCAAAACTAAAAAAAAAATTAAAGCGATACTAAAGGCTTAATAAAAAACAAAATAAAAATAAACACGTGTCTATACTTATCTGCTGTGTGCAGTGGTTTTGCACAGAGCAGCCCAGATCCTCCTCTTCTCAGGTCCCCCGCAGGCTCTCCTGGTCCCCTCCACCATGTAACATACCCCCACAGCAAGAAGTGTGCTATGGGGGCACCCGCAGTTCTGTATGTCCATTCACCATGGAGCCTCAGCTCGACTCTGCCCCCTCCATTCTCATTGGCTCACTGGCTGTGATTGACAGTCTCAGCCAACGAGGAGAAGGAGTCCTGGGATAGCCGAGACTCCAGTGCACATTGCTGGATCGAGAGCAGGCTTAGGTGAGTATTAGGCAGGCTGGGGGGTTTGCTGCACAGATAACATTTTTTTTATCTTCATGCATAGAATGCATGATGTTAAAAAACCTTGAGCCTTTACAACCGCTTTACTAAATACATACATTTGGATGCTGCTAGCTAGAATTTATTAGTGTTACGTTTCATACTAGATAGCTCAGATTTTCATAGTAATGGTCATCTGAAATGACCCTTCTCCCAGTGGTGTTAATATTTCTTCCTGCATGGTGGTGGGCAGACAACTTAAACAGAGCCGTTTTTTCTTCTTTCGCTCATTGGCTAGAGGTTGGCAGCAAGATGTGTGTCTAAAACTCTAACATCACATTAGTCTATATTACTTACATCTATATTACATTCAGTTATATACAAGGTCTTTAAGATTTTGTCTTGCTTCATTTAACGCCACATCCTTCAGGCACAGAATACTAAGCCCCAAATAGCTACACAAACTCTCTTCTTTATTTATATGTTTTTGAGTCAGCTTCTTAATAAACAGGATGTGAGATTACAGGATATTTCTGTCCCAGGGGAAGTAGGATACATATGGCAAAGATCTGTTACGGTGAGCGTTGAAAAATGCTGGGGTTTGGCTCTGTGCTGTAAAATGGCACCATTTTTGCTCTATTGTTGGAAAAATTAACCATATGAATTTTGATTTTGTATGATTGAAGGGCCAGTGTTATATACAGGGCCTACATCTTTTCGTGCAAATATATGAAAGCAGAACTTCACACAGCTATTAAATTTGATAAAGGATTTCATGTTGGTTTTGTCAAGGGATGATCTAATACGAGGTGGTATAAAAAATTTTGAGTTTTGTAGCATGCCAACAGATGGCAGCACAAGGCTGCACACACAGTCACAGAGAGTGCCGGCCTTCATAAGTCAATGGTTTCAAAAGATATCGTCCTGTGTACATTGGGAGCTGTGCAAGTATTGCTATTCTGACCATATGCGTTACCATGTCTGCTATGGACAGCAAGTTAGAACAAAGACGTGAAATTCTGTGTGAAACTGGGCAAATCGGCCAAAGAGACATTTGGCATGACTCAGCAAGTTTATAGCGATGCTGCAATGAGTCGTTCAAGGTGTTTTAAGTGGCATGCACAGTTCAAGAGTGGAAAAACATCACTGGAAGATGACCAGATATCAGGAAGACCTCCAGTGAGCTCAACCCCCGAAAATGTGGAAACCATTCGGCAACCTGTGTATGATGATTGTCAGAGAACAGTCCACAACATTGTTGGTATGTCATACGGAACAGTCCAGGCAATCCTTATGTGTGATTTGAACATGTGCCATGTTGCTGTCAAGTTCGTCCCCAAGATGCTAACCCAGGAGCAGAAGGAATGCAGTGTCGAAGTCTGCCAAGAACTCCATCAGCATGCCGTGGATGACCCATCCTTCATGTACCAGTGAAGAAACTTGGGTGTATGGGTTTCACGCAGAATTTCACATTTGCTCTTTGTTCTAACTTGCTATCCATGGTGAAATAGCAGACATGGTGACACATGTGGTCAGAATAGCACCAGTCGCACAGCTCCCGATGTACACAGGACCGCCTGTAGTTGCATAGTGATTTAGTGGTCTTCCAGTAGTTTGGGCAGTGAAGTAGCACCGGAAAGGCAGGAGTGGGCACCTAAGGGTGCCAGATTATCCACTGTACCAGGGGTGGACTGACAACTCATGGGGCCCCCAGGCAATAGGGGATCATGGGGCCCCTGTGTCTTTGCCCAAACTCAAAAATGCCTATGAAAAAGGTACCAGGGGCATCTCATGGGGCCCCCTACTGACCCCGGGCCCTCGGGCGGTGCCCGAGTTTCCAAATGGTCAGTCCTCCCCTGCACTGCACTATTTATATCCTAGGGAATGTACAATTAGGTATGCAATGGCTTTCACCAGCATTTATATTATTTACTGAATCAGTCTGGGCAGTGTTCACCTACATTTCCTCTACTTTGCTTCTTTAACTGCAGTTTTCCTTGTGTCCAATAGATGGCTACAGCATACTAGATTGCAAGCATTCTGCATTCATCTATTCAAAGATTTTGGTTTCGCAAGATCATGTTGCGTTCATGTGTACTGTACTTTGTTTTCCGCTTTGTGTATTCTGATTCCGTAAGGGCTTGTTCACACTTGACTAAATTTCAAACTCTTCAAAAATGCCCCTATAGCATTAGGGCTCATGTACACTGCAGCTGATAAACTCACGTTTAGGAGCTTTTCTGCGTTTTTTTCAGCAGCCCCTGAACTCTCCCTAATGTTCTCCTATGTGTCCATGTGCACATCGCCGTTTACAGTCATTTACAGGCAGTTGTGTTTACAGTCGTTTTTTTGAACGCAAAAAAAAAACGCGTTCAGGAGTAGATTTTATCAGCGTTTCAAATGCGGCTAAACGCGGCAACCGTGTTTATAAGCGTTTGCAAATTTTTTTTAACTCTTCCATTTCCAGATGTTATCCAGAGCCTTTTATCATCATGAAAAATGCATGCAAAGCGTTTTCCCAGTACTCAAATGGACCTGGAACACCATACTTTTAGGTTTTGCATGAAAGAAAATATGTTAGGCACTGCTGCAATAATTTCTGCACAGAAATGAGCTGGAACACATCCAAAAACCACCAAAAAAAAAAAGACAGCTAATCTCAACAAATACTACTCTCTCTGCTTCTGCTCTCTCTATTTCTCTCAAAATGTCTGAAATAGTTAGTTTTTTACTGATTTCCAGTACATTCTGGGCATTTTGGAAGGTCTCCTGAGGTTATCTTATAAAAACACTTCTAAACGGAAACGCTCATAAACGCACATAAACACGGTATGCAAACGCGGCTAAACAGACATTTTTTAACCTACGTTTTCCAGCAGTCAGTTTCCATCATTCAGAAGTGTCCCGTGTACATGGGGGGCCTTAGTATGGGTGCTAGACAGACATTAATAAGCTTTAGTATGGGTGTTTTACAGGCATTAAAAACATTCCCCAAACACCCTATACGTAGTTTTGAGCCATTTTATAAGCGTTTTACAAGCGTTAAAACTGCCCCACAAACGCCTACAATAAACTCTTATGGTATTAATGCACCACAACTACACTTGTGAGATGGGGAAACAGCTCTCATTGTTTGAACACTGTGTGCAGTAAATTATTGTGTGGAGTAAATTGATGTTTTGACTGACATTCTACGGTTTAGCCACAAGATGTCACTGTTTTTCTAACATAGGCTCAGACTGCATAGATATTTGTATATTCATAAGAGGTGGAGTTTTTTCACACAGAGAGTTGAGGAAACAGGAAGAGGAGACTGCAGCCATGTTTGTGGACGATGCTGAATGAGAGGGCCGTGTGAGCTGAGAATCTGATGACATCCCGGTGTGGGAGCTTCCCTCCGTGGCCAGAGCTGAAGCTGGGTGAAGCTGATCGTGTCCAAAACCCTGATCCTGTTCAGAGAAAGGAAGATTGCTGCCAGCAATGCTGATGAGAGCAGAGGAACAACGCAGCATACACTGCAAGATCGCAAGCTTGTTGGAGAGACGGTTGTTCTGTTCAGAGTCACCAGCGGATGCAAAGCAGACCCAGGTCGGTAAGATCGTGCACGCACCACATTTCAATGCTGCCGCTCAGAGACTGAGGCCAGTCCTTTAATTAGTTAGTTAGGGTCTGTGTTTGTGTCCGGCCACAAGTGTTGTTACTGATTATTGGAAGGACTCCACAACTTAAAGTGACATTTCAAATTGGAGAGCTGTCAAAATCCTACAAACTCAAGCCAGACTGGCGTTTTGCTCAAGGAATACTCAGGCACGTGCTATAGGATCAGTTATGGGAGGGGGAATACTGTAGATTTGTGTAAGATTGTAAGCTGTTGTGCTGCACCGTAGGCTAGCCCATACCATACACCCATACACTGATTCCTGCTCTTTTAGGGTAATAACAGGTAAGGTGTGGCAGCTTAGTTGTGCCCGCCAGTAGGTAAATTACTACACTTTCTACCTTCATTCATCCATCAGGAGGCGCCGTGCTGTGCAGCACAAGGGTCTCGGCCATTGGGCTGGGTGTATGTAAGTTTATTGTATGTTTCCAGCATTTGTGGTTGCGTTTATTTGTCACATCTAAGTAAAATTCTGTTGTGGCAAAAGCTGGTGTTGGGGTTGCTTTCCTCGTTGGTGACTTCACTGTATCCTGGGGAGCCCACCCCGGTACATGGCTTACACACTGCAAACGCCTGCCAGGATGTTTGAGGCGCATCACCATAGACTTGAATAGGACTCCTCCTTCAACTCCTCCTAATTTGACAGGAGGCTTCAATTTTGAAGCGGCGCGATGCTAACGCTTCATGTTTTGATAATGTGAACATCACTGTGTGCTGCCCATTGTGTAATTTCCATAGGCGTTTGAGGAGAATTAAAAAAACACCCCTCAAACACCTGTTTTTAAAGCCAGTGTCAACTAGGCCTAATACATTCATAGGAATGCCAACCCAAACAGCAATCCAAAAAATGTTGAAAGGGCTAAATATCTGTGGCGCTCACCCCCTAAAGGGCCCACTGATTTGGTTCCAATGTTCTTTTAAGTTTTTCTTTTGGCCAGGCATACAATAAGCGTAATAACAGCCAGGTATACAGTCTCAGTCACTATTCTGGCTCAATGATTAGTCTAGGGGTATCCTTTTTTGATGCTTCGTTAAACTCTTGAACTTGGATGGGTGTGGGGCAATCATGGGATACTCCAGTACTGTTAAGCTGTAACTTGAGGACACCTATCTTCCTTCTAAAGATTCTTAGCACAGCCCTTGCAGCAGCAAATGATGGGCTGAGCTACACAGGGACAACATGAGCAATATGCACTTTTAGTATAAGCTGAGTGCAATGCAAGAAGAATAGTAGAAGCCCACAGTCGCTGAGATCTCAAAAATGTCTCTGGATATTTGGATGCCTCCTTCCAGTATCAGCCAGACATTTCTCCTGTGAACTCTTCAGACCAGATCCCCAAAACGATATCCTTCATTCTGCTCTAGCAGCTGTTCAGTAGAATAGGTGCCCCAGCTATCTCAGTTGAGACCTCAATGAGCAAATAAAGAAGCACAGCTGGGCTGCCAAGAAAGGCAGCAGCCCTTCAGGCTAGGATCTTCTCCTTCTGGACAAGATCGTCTCTGCTCCAAGCCTCAGCATTTTTATACTCCCTCTCAGCCACCTTCTGGGCACTCTCTCCCAGGGATTGGCTGAGACCATATAAATATTAATTCTGTAGATTTGACAGTCCCAGCCCACTACTTTCCAGAAGGCAGGGGGAATCTATCAAACCCACAGCCTGTGTAACATAGAGCAGACTAAAGCAATCACAAGCAGCTCCACTGATTACAGGCAAGCCAAAAAGCTAAATTTACCTAACCTAACATCCATCTAGGAGGGTGCCACATTTCATGGACACACGATGGTGATTATAGACTATTCCTAATGGCTGAGCATTAAATACTTATCTGATCTGCATCAACGATGCTGTAAGGATGAAATTGTTTTTAACATGAAGAAAACGAAGAAAAGAAATGCTCAGGCACATTACCATCATGCTGTACATTATGGCAAAACCTAGAGATACTTATTGGCTCATACCTGAATGCAGGAAAAAAATCCTTACTTGGACTTAACATACTTTTTGGACAGCTTCATTCAGCCTGTTTTTCAAACAGACTATTGATAAATTCCTGGATGGCTGGCAACCCTAGTCTAGGTGTGCATGTGTGTTTTTTAGGCTCCCAATCAGCTCCCATTTCATTTCAAACCCATGTACTAGACACATTTTTCCTGTTCAGAGGTTCTGCAAGCATCCAAATAAAAAAGGTGTTCAGGTGTTTACCTGATTCGAACCTCCAGCTGCAGCTGTATTACTACCGCTGCTAAATGTGAGGGCTCCCAGGTTGGTTGCTAGGAAATCGGTGTCTGTCAGCATCCCAATAACCAGTGAGCCATATCTGCCACAGCTGACAGGTGAATGTAAACTGTTGGGGACAGTGTAAAAACAAACACATGGGATCCCCCCAAAAATAACACCAAACCCTTTAGGTCTCGTATGGATTTTAAAGGTGACCCCATAGAAAAAAAATAAAGGCCCCCTCAAATTCCATACCAAACGCTTATCTAGGCATGCAGCCTGTGCAAGCCATGAAATGGGGAGGGCAAGTGTGCACCTTCCCCCTTTCCTGAACCATACCAGGCTAAATGCCCCTAACACGGGGAGGGAGTGACGATCGCGACGTCAGACCCCAGCCCTTCTCACCAAACTCGTGACCAAAGGACTAGCCAATCTAAAACCGCTCTGTCACGTGCGTAACAATGCCACGCCCAGCTACACCCTGCACACAGATTTTCCAGCTATTGGACCACAACCTGTGTAACTAGCCTGAGAGAGATTGTTACTGGGTCAGGTTAATTACGCAATTAATCCTTCACACTGCCACCACCTCCTTTTTGTACAGAGAAAGAGGAAACTCTGCAATATTAGCAATAACACTATGATGTTTGAATAATCATCCGTATACCACTGTCACCGGAGGCAGGGATATATAGAGGTTTAAACACACACACAGCAGCACTCTTCAGAGGCAGGGATTCTTAGTTTGCATTAAAGAGCTTTAGAAACAGTTCAACACTATATATATATATATATATATACATATACATATATATATATATATATATATATATATAAAATATATATAAATATACAGAAAACAATGGCAGAGCAAAGAGAAAACAGAAAGAAGTTTAGAGGGTTCAAGTACTTGCCGTCAGCCTTGGGTTAAGCAGATCAGGATTCAGAGCCAAAAGGATGCCTTATCTCCTAAAGTTAGTTCCGATGTTAAAAAAGGGAGAATCTTCAACGTCACTCAACTCAGCTTAGCTCAGCTTTTTTTAGGAATTCAGCAGGGTGTCTCCTTGAAGCAGAGAACCAATCACCTCAATTGGGCGGGTGTTGCAGGCGGAGACCCAAGCTATGACCAAAAACTCTCCCAGTTGATGTCATGGTTCATAACTTATTCTCGGTGCATTTAGCAGCCTGGCCACTAGTAGAGTAATATGCAGATGCATCTGCTGAACGGTTAGATATGAAATATGACATACCTGCTTGGATGGTTCAGGAGATATAATTTTCTGCTCTCCTGTATATGCCAGATAGGGGGTGTAATATATCAGGCTACTTGTGTTAAAGTGAGCCGTCCGAATATGTGCTCCATGTTTATTTAATTATGTCCTATTTGAAGATATAAAATTATATGGAAAAGAGAGTTTGTAAATGTAAGTCTGTTTTTACGACTACCTGGAATGTCCTTGAAGCTCAGTGAGGGCTTGGTTTATGGTTTTATGATCCCTTCTCCAGCAAGAGTCTTGCAGACATAGCGGCACCAGATATGTGTGTGGGATTATAATCATGAAGCCCTCCCAATGAGTTTGCTGCCTGTGATCTGCATCATACAGACCACATGTCACTCAACAGAGAGGGAGGGGGGATGAGGAAAGCTGATTTGGGAGTAGAAATGATACAAGATAGAAGATCCTTTGCCCAAAATGGAGTTTTGCATCCATCTCTGTGTGCATGTTTGCTACAGAGGGTACCTTGTGTTCCCTTCTTTCCTGACAAAGCACCTTGTCCCCATGTTGATGAGGACAAGAACTTCTTCCTTTCAACCCTAGCCTGGTAGTTGTGGGGATCTACGGGCCAAGGGCTTATTGGAATCTGAAAGCCCCCTTTAAAATAAGAGGGCCCCCAAATGCAAGCCCCTCTTCTATTTGAATGAGTATTGCGTACAATCTCATTGCTCACTCACCCTGAATGACAGCTGCTGGTTCCCCCAGCACTTTGTAGACTAAGGGTTGGGATTTCCAAGGAGAAATCATTGACCAATATGGTCATAATAAGTCCCCACCCACAGACCCTACAATCACAGGGTCAGGGTTTCGGGGAAGATGCCCTCATTCTCCTCAATATAGGGATAAAGTTGCTTTACCAGGGAAGTCCACCCTGGCAAGGTATCCTACCCATGTTATGTGCATGTGGCCCGCTATGATTTCGGGGGGAGGGAACACGCTCGTTTCTCACTCCCTTCCCTAGTTACAGAGGAGGTCTAGTGCTTTAATTTTTTTTTTTTACTTTTTTTTCCCACTGTCCCTTAATTTTTTTTTTTTCGCCTATTACAAGGAATGTAAACAGCCCTTGTAATAGAACTAAGGGAAAACAAGTCATCTTTATGGAGAGACCCCAAATCTCTCTTCTACCATTAAAAGCAAAAGATCAAAATGAAGTTTTGGTCTTTTGCTTTAAAAAAAAAAAAAATTGTTTACTGTCACCGTAGACCAGAAGTGACGTCATGACGTCGCTCCAGTCCTCCAACAATCATAGGGATCGGTCATCAGAGACGATCTGGTCTCTGATCACCTTTGTGACTAGCTGCGCAAACTGTTGCATCATTTCCCGGGCTCACCGGTAAAAGAGGTAAGCCTGAGAAACACCAACGGGAGGGGGGGACAACCCCTCTTGCTGCTTCTGAAAGCAATCCAGTGGCTAATGGGTTGGTGGGTATACATCGCACAGATATGCCACTTGCATCACCCAGGCATATTATGTAAAGGAATTTCTCACATTTATTGTTCACTTAAAGCATTTTTAAATTTAAATTAAATGCTCCTCACCAAATGGATTTTTAAAAATGTGTTTTTGCCATGGGAGATGTTTCCCAGGGCAGTGCCCAGCCCCCCATTTCCTTACCTATTAGCGTAGAAAATGGGCATTATTTATTTCTAAGATTTAGCTCCCATTGATTTCAGTGGGACTGGGATTTGGAATCTGAATTTCGGAGAAGTTTCAGGTACCTATCTGAACCTAACCTGAATTGGCCATTTTGCCTTGTCTTGCAGTGGGACAGAAATAGCACCCAATGCAATCCCATTGCACCTAATATGAATATGCCCTCAATGAGACAGTAGCATGAAGTAGGACTCAGTGTTCCCCCATTCTGGAAACATTTGGTGCACCTGGTTGTGCTTTATTGCATGCCTTTGAGGAAAAGTCCTCCGTGAAGAGTAAAGAGTTCATGTGGAAACTTTGATTATGGTGTGATACCTGTAGGTAGGTGCAGAGTTGTGCGGTGGCAGTAAATGTACTGAGTCTGGTTGCAATTAACAAAACCTTTGTTGAAGGAACTGCCTCAAGATACAAACAGACCAGAGGGAGGGCACCCAACTGGGAACAACCACAATTCTGTACAAACTTGCAGATTGCACCGACAGCACCTGTCTTGGAGGGCGAAATACAGCCTGGCCAGTCTGATCCCAATGGGGAGGATTGCAGTGCAGGATGGGGTGTCTCTAGTCTGTCCCTACTCATCCTGAACCTTTCCCTACCACTATCCACTCTCCCTGACAGGTGGGTGAACTGTACATACACTATCCACTCGACAGAAAGTGCACCAAAGGGAGCAGGTACTTAAAAAGGCTCTGCTGGCCCAAGATGTCCACCAGGATCACCTGGATGCAGTATAGCCTACTGGACCACTGCCTAGGGGACCAAGGAAGCCATACAGAAACTAGGCTTCTCTTGACTTCTTCTCCAGCTGCAGTACTGATCAGGCTGAGCGTCACATACAGTGGAGAACAGAGACTGCACCTGCCTACATACCCATACTTAAACCTGTACTTGAACTGTGAAATAAAAAGTTGCTGTGCTGCTCAAAATAATGTTCCAGTAAAAGAAATTTAGAAGTTGCCTACAGTTGTGTGGACATTGATCACCATTATGCACAATAAAAGAACAACAGGGCTAAAAGTAATCAGGTACTTCAGTAGGTAAAGAGTGCTGACTAAGCCTACAGAGAGGTTGAGAGTGCAGAGATGGTAAAGCCCAGAAGAAAAACAGTAAAAGCCAGAGAGAGCTTAGGTGTAGTTGGCCATCTCTATAGGGCTTTGTAATTGGAAATTAGGTTCTTCTCTAGGAAAGCCCAGAGAGGGAGCAAGATGGGTGTGATGCTGTTGAAAGAGGCACTAGTGATCTCCGTGGTGATATCTTGCCCATTAGAAGCTGGAGAGGCAATAGTAAAAGGTTGATGAAACTTAGTGGGGTCCTGTACATGGTGACAGAAAACATGTAGAGTCAAGTTCACCAAGAGGAAAGTGTAGTTCAAACACTTGAAACCTATCTGGAGAGTTGCCATATACGGTGCCTAAGCGTAGCAGCTATGGAAGAGTTCCTTCTCTGCTGTATCATGAACACTACCTAGAGAAGGCTTTTCCCCATTTGTGTAGGTATTCCCTGTAAGCCACAGGTGATGTGTGTTAAACCCCCTTTACAGAACTAGGGGAGAGTAGAGGACCCTGCTAGGTATAAAAAGGAGAAGGGAGCAAAAAGAAGGAAGAAAGAAGAGATAGGGTGAACAGAAAATGTTATGAGCCTTGTTCACTGTAGCATCCCACAACTTTTTACTCTAGATGAGGTCCCCAACATGCCTTGAGTCTTCTTGGACCTCAGTAACACTACTGGGCAAAATATTTACTTTTCTGTGGTTTGTCTAACTCTTCAAAGAGAAAGAATCAGTTCTGCTCCCTGTACTGTTGTAGAATAGCTGTTCCGCATTCATAATTAATCTGTATCACTTTATCTAAAAACCCTGGAAACATACAACAATAGCACATAACAAATTGAAGATGCCTTTTGCATCCTCTGTGCTGTACAGCATTAATTATATTTATCAGAGGCTTATGACTGAGTCATACGGGGTTACAGCAGTCTGTGTGCGCGCTGTGTACTAATGCTGTGACGCAGGACTCAGAAAGGCCAACTCCCTGTAATTTCTCCAGGCCACATATTTTATTGTGTTATGCCAAAAGGCGATCATGAAAGCTATTTCCCTTGCGTTTGATAACGATTATTGGATAGTAAATTCAGTTAAATTACTTAATTATCACTGACAACAGTTACATGATCTTTGGCACTGGTCTGTTGTACCATAAAAGGTTCACATGCTTTTAGTCATTGTTGGCATACTTTTTCAATTTAATATGACCAGTCAGGAGGCAGGGAAGCCTCTGAGTATGGCTGGAACAGGAGCAGCAGGGGACAACTTATCCCCCAGATATTAAGGTAGGCTACCTGAGTTTTCAAGACATCCCTCCCCACCATCCCTCCTTTATTCTGAAGGACCTGTCCTCTGAGGAAGTCCCTAGCCTTCTTGTCTGGTCTTATTGCATGTATACCAGACAGGACCTCCAAAAAGACATTACCTAGCTTATTCAGTGGACCAGAAAACAGGCCAATGGTGATTTACAAACTGTAAAAACCCTAGGCTACCAATAAGATTTCAGTCTACTGTAGCATACAGTTGTCAGACCAGTTAAAGTAGTAGTAAAATCCCCTCTGTGATTTTTACCTATAGGTAAGCTTATAAGAAAGCTTACCTGTAGGCAAAATGAGTATCTCCTAAACATTGTTTGGCAGTTGGTGACGTCACCGGCACATTTGCTCTGAAGGAATGGCATACTCAGGGGCGGACTGACAACTCATGGGGCCCCCGGGCAATAGGGGATCATGGGGCCCGTGTCCTTGCCCAAACTCAAAAAAGCCTATGAAAAAAGTACCAGGGGCATCTCATGGGGCCCCCTACTGACCCCTGGCCCTCGGCAGTGCCCGAGTTTCCAAATGGTCAGTCCGCCCCTGGGCATACTCATGACCTTCTTTCTGAGCTCTGTGCCACACCTGTGGCTCTTGTGTCCATGTGAGGTAGTGACACCATCACGGCTCGGCCATTCAAGCATTTGGAGCCCGTGAACCTGGAAGCAAGACCGGGTGAAGATGGAAGCTCTGTCAGTCGTGACAGCACGCCTCTGAAGGGCTTAGTTTCAAGGTAAGTCTTTCATAATGTGCTAGTACTAGCAAACTAGCAAATACTATGCATACTAGCAAATTATGATATTACCTTGCAGTGGGAATTTTTTTTTTGTTTTCCTAATTTTTATTACTGCTTTAAAGAAAACTTGTAACTAGGAATGAGTGAAACTGAGACTTTCATTTCCTGATTGTTCTGCAATAAATTGAGATTTCCCTGCAAAAATCTGACATTTCCATAAAAAATATATATGAAATTTTGGCATTTTGTCAAAATGTATTAGAGTCACTAGGGAAAGCAAAATCTAGGTGATACTTTTTGGTTTTTAAGGATACAGTGTCATTTAAATAGCTCCTGTGTGTTATGTAAGCTACTTTTAACTATCCTAAACAGATTATTGTGCAAAAAAATCCCTTCTTTCTGTGCATTTTATTCCTAGAAAAAAAACAGACAGTGAAAATAAAGTAAAATAAAAAATTCCCAAAAAAGGAAGCGTGTAGTTAGCCACTGAAGAACTTCTGAAATTGCTAGTTCCTTGGTTGTCAGGCTTCAAAGATTTCAGATGTTTCAGAGGGCTCGCTAGTGCACACAGAGGTGGGCTGAGGCTGTTACTTAATGTAAGTATGGCATTTAAAGCAACACGCCATCTTAAAGTATAACTAAAGGCAAAACGTTTTTTTAAGTTTTGCATAGAGTGGAGCGGGATTAAAACCCCTGTCAGTTTTACTGCAGTCTGTACCCCTGTTAGGGAAATTCCCCCTCTCTATGTGTCCTCTTTACCATTATCATCTAAAATGAAAGTAAAAAAAACCCACATTTTGGGTTGTCCCCAGAAAAGTAGTAGAGGGGAAATCTACCAATGGGTACACTAGTTCTGGTGACCTCTCATTTCCTGTTTTGGCTATGGGACAGGAAGTGAAGGTAAATCTCCCTAATGGGACAAAGATGGCAAAAATAAATTAACATGAGTTATAACCCCCCCAACTCCAAAATGGAAAAAAGTTTTGCCTATAGTTCTACTTTAAAAGCAACACTTCTCCACATTGACCTTACCTAACTCCTTGTAATCCATGACCCGATTTCTGTGACTCTTTACATTGCACACTATATAGATAACAGTCCCTCTTTACACTTCATGACACTTCTGAAGGGTTCTGAATGCTAAGAAAGGAACCTAAACGTTCAAGCTCCTTTAATACCAGGGCCTTCTATCACCTTTGCCAAGTCACATGGCTACCCAGCTGGCTGGCTGCTGATACACTCAACATTAGTACTGTGTTATTGGCAACGGCAATATAACTTTCTCTGAATAGCTTCACTACACGTTAGATATCTGTACTGCATCTTCTGTATCTCGTCTTGTCTCTGGGTGTAAACCCTGTCCTGTGATAGGCCAAGCATGCATGCACCCCTTTTAGGATTGTCCTACAGTGACTTCAGCCCAGGCCAGGATGTATGTAACAATGAAATTCTATACTAAAATATGTTTAAATATAACAAATATGCATGAAATTCTTCACACACATCTTTCCTAATACAAAATGTTTCTTTAGTGCCCATTAGATGTTTTCTTGATGTCCCTGCCCCATGAAGTAGCACCTCTTTCAGTATCTTCTCCAGTGTCCCGTGAGCAGGGACACCCCCATCTTAGAGTTGCCAGCTCCTGAACAAAAAGATCTTATCACAAAGCAATCTGAACCCAGGGAACAGGCTTAGAGAATGGTACAACCCCCACGAAGACTTACATATGACCCACGGGGCAACAGTTCACAAGAGATGATTCCAACTGTGCATTGGTCCACTGACTTTTCAGTGCTACCCATAACAGCACCAGAGGAGACAGCCCCTTGCTTCACCCCTAACACACCTTGGTGGCATTTTCCATTATCTGATGTGTTTGTTAGGAAATGTTATAACATCAGTTTACTTTCTAGGTAATTTGCTTATTAACTTGCAATTAGTTCCTTGTTGCCATTGACCTCTTTGGAGGGTCGAAGGTTCTTTTGTGGGGGGAGTATGTAACCGCTAACTGTAGCTGATAGGTGCTGTAAATCCTTGGATTGTACACTACGAATAACAGTTCCTCATTAAATTCATGATATCTTCTCTCTTCTGCGATATTTCTGAGCTAGTGCCACACAGCTTGCACCAGTCTCCACCAGCCCAATTACCCATCACCTCATATCTGTGACACCGATTTGTATGATACACTCGGATACTAGGAAGATCAACTCGTACATAACTCATGCTTATTCTTTCCGAGACTTCACTTCATCTTCCGTGACTTTCAGACTGGATCCCTAGGCTATCCCATGCTACAAATTGGACCCAATATTGGGGTTTTGAGTGCTAGAGAAAGGAACTTAAGTACAAGCTACCAGGGATTTTTGTCACCTTTGCCAAGTCACATTGCTACTTAACGCTAGTATTGTAATCATTGGCAACAGCAATATACCCTACTCTGAATAGCTTAACTGTACAATATATATCTGTACTCCATCTACTTTATCCTATCTTGTCCCCAGGTGTGTAACCTGTTCTGTGATATGCCAAGCATACCTGTACCCTCATAACATTGCCCTATAGTGACTTCAGGCCAGGCCAGGATGTTTGTAACAACGAAGCTCTTTACTAAATGTTAAACTTGAGTCTGAACAAAAAGATTTTACCACAGAGCTGTCTGAACCCAGGGAACAACAGGTAAAGAGAATAGTACGACCCCCTCATGAAGACTAACATATGACTCACTTAGCAACGGTACGGAACAGATTATCCTAACTGTGCGTTGGTCCTCGGACTCGTCATTGCTACCCATAACAGCACCATAGGAAACAGCCCCTTGCTTCACTCCCCAACACACCTTGGTGGTATTTAGTTTCACTTTAGTTTCTAGGTAACTTGCTTATTGACTTGCAGAGTGTTCCTTTTTGCCTTTCACCTCGTTGGATGGTTAAAAATTCTTTGGTGGGGGGAATATGTAACCACTAACTGTAGCTGATAACTGTGGAACCTCTTCCTTTTTGCTGATGTATTATCCTTCTGCAGTGTGCACAGCTAAACTGAATATTCATTAATGCAGAAGTGCAGTAGCATCTTTAAGGAGACAACTTTGCAGTGCTCATCTATGGGGTGTTTCCAGTGCAGGGGGCAGGCATCTTGACTGGTTATGGAGGACAGTGATTGGCTGATAGAACAGAGCTGGGAGAAGTGAAGTGTGGAGGCTGCAGAGAGGAAAAGAGGAGAGGGCACCATAAGGTTGCAGTGTAAGGGGAACAGTGGTGTGTGGCCAGAGTTTGCTGAAGCTATCTAATGCTGTCCTGCCAAGGAGAAGAGATTGTTGTTGTCATTATACTCTGCACATGCTACATGTGAGGAAATCTGGATCCTGAGAGCCACACTGGGGGCTTCACTTTTTGGACATGGAGAGTGAGTGTTACCATCAGTAGTCCCCTGACCATGAGGAGAAGACCACTGGCTACTACTGCTGGACACTAGCTTGCAAGGGAGGACCCTTTCACAAACCTGGATACACCTGGAGTTTGGAGAATGCCTACTGTAGTGGAAGGACTCTTAGCCACTGAAATGTTTTAGTTCTTGATTCCATTAAAAAATTCTGCCCCAGTGGGGTTGTCCTAGCTTCTCTTTATTTGGGAACAATCCAGTGCCCCTTTGGATTACAAAGACTGTACTAAAGAGCACTCCCACCATTTGTAAGGAAGCAGCTCCTCTGGGAGTAGTGCTGCATGAGTTTACCTCTCAATAGTGCTGCCAGATTTCAGTTTTAACATCCTGATGGCATTACTTCAGTGCCCTTGCCTTGCTTGCATGGTAACCTCCCATTTGGTTCTATGGGGCCGTACTCTTCCACACATACTCAGTCGTGGCCATGATGCAAGATGTAAACATGGATGGCATGAAAACCATGCAATTACATTAAATGAAAGAGATCAGCAACAGCAACCCATGCATTTCTGTATTATCACACCTAGGGATGAGCGGAGTGATTTTGATGAAAACAATTGTACAATGAAATTGCCACTTTCATGTACAGCCTCCAACAGAATCTTCAGCATCTAATACTTCTGGGTATGTTGGATCCACAGTTTTGCGCTGTGGTCGTTCCCACCACCCCTAATGTCACTACAGGGCAAATTAAAGACATAGAAGCTGGAAAAAGCAACCACAGCACCAAGATACGAGACCAGTATGAGTATGAGCATATGAGTATGCAACACACCTGGAAGTCTCAGGTGTAGAATATTCTGCTACAGGCTTTAGCACTTCAACAGAGCGAAGTGAGAATTTGCTCTACTGACAAGATAAGTATGAAGAATCTTTTATTGCAGGATTTTTTTTATTATTTGCAGGTAACAGTTGCTTTAAGTTAAAACTCTGGGCGATCTGACCCAGAAGTGGGAGCAGGTAGCTGTCAAAACTAGGTACCCATTCCCCCCCCAAAAAAGTGTTAAATGTGGCAGTGGAGGGGGGGATACAAACAAGCAGGACTTCCCATTTCTGGTGAAGTTCTGCTATACACCATGCAGTGCGGGCACAGCCCCTCTGCAGGGGAAAATAAAAAATGTGCCTTCTTCTTTAATGTCTCCTGTATTTTTTTTACAGACACCTGCATGTCAATCGTAATGATGAGTAGCAGCTTCAGCTCTGTACACTCTGGGTATGTTGCTCACATCTACTAAATAATGTTCGCTGGTATTCAGGGGGCCATACAGTATTTACCATTCACACATTCTTTCTTGAAAATGATGCACTGATGCTCTGTACGGGAAAATCACACTGCTACTGTATAAAGAAGGGGTGGGGAAGAGGAATAGTGGCA